CACTCGATCGGGAGCGGGATCGAAGGCGAGATGATCGCAGGAGATCCGAAAGGGATCGCGATAGGGACCGTGCGCGGGGCGGACGTGACCGGAGGAGACGTGACGATAGCCGGTAGGCTGAGTCACGAGGATTGCGGCCGATAGGCTTGCGTCCGTTCTCCAATGGTCGGCGCGGTGCGGAGGTGATGATGTTCCTCCCGGACCGCTGAGGCGCGGAGGTCATGTCTCTCCCGTACCGCTGCTGAGCCGCTGGACGTGCTCATCCGGAAGCAGTGTGAGTGAGAGGGAAAGCAAACTGATGGGGGGTTACTCCCGGGTTTGCGGAATTCAGGCATTTTTTAATCAGGTACGCATGGTCAGGAGTACCTCTTGCCGTTAGGCGAGGGTACTAATGGACATACGTTATCTTTTATTTCATGGCTTCTGATAAGAATTAAACTTCTTGCATTGTTGATGCGAACAGTTGTGACCTAGTGTCGTCATGTGGACTTTTCCACAAGGTTTGTTGGACAGCGTTACCCCGATTAATTCGGGGTGGTGGCGGGAATTTAATGCCCGGGATGTCGCGCAACTGCCTTTGTGGGTTTGCTCCACCGCTGACGGCGGTAGTGTCCAGCTGTTTGTGGACGCATGCGAGCAGTTAAATCCTATCAGTAAATGGCACGCTCCACCCGTCATATGACGGGCTCCTCGTGAGGGGGGTGTGATTAGCCATGGTTTATATCATCATCAGGGACGTCGCGTTAGTGACCGACCTGTGGTGTTTTGGCTCAAGTTTTGGGTTCCGTCGCGCCTCGAATGGGCATCGCCGAACCCCTGCGTCGACCGACGGCATCTCGGGGGAGAAAGAGACCTCGGGCCGCCGCCAGGTTGGTAGGGACCAGTCGTGCGGCCTGTTGTCGACCAAGGTTGCGGGTTAACCCTTTTTCTTGTTTGGTTTGTTTTTCCTTTGGTTGTTGTTCTCTGGTGTGTGGGAAACCCTGATCTTTGGGACCGGGGATTGGTTTGCTTTTGGGGAACCTGTCTTTTGTGGCTTGTTACTCCACACTTTTTAACCCATTGCCAGGCACAAGGCACGTTGCCCGAACCAACAAAATAATAATAATTACTAATAATACTAATTACTACTAACAATCTAATAAAATAAAAAAACATAAACGCCCCAGATTTTTTTTCGGAATACGGAATTGGCCACAACACAACGAACACGAAATGCTCTGTGCACACACACACGAAATGCTCGTGCAGCGCTGCTTCCCGATTTGCCTGTGCACGCCCGCAAGGTGGTCGAGTGGGGTTGGGTGACGGAGGATGCATACGATGCCGTCATGCGGCCGGCAAGGAGCCGCTTGAAAATGCTGGGATCTTCTATATCCGGTTTGCAGTCCAAGGCTGATAGAAACTTGCAGACGCGGTTCAATGGCGCTTTTTTACTCAAAGCCGCCCCCCCCCCCCCCCGGCTGCCAAATTATTATGCAGCGCTTGTTGCCATGGCTGGGTCACAATGGAATGCAGCATTCCAATGTGGAGGAGATGGAGCGAGAACGTGGCGCAGTGGGTCAACGTGTCCTTCTTGGAGTGCGACCAGGAGCTCTTGGAAGGCGCTTTCGAGCTTCGGATTCCGAGCCGAGAGCCTTTCCCGAGCATGGCCTCGTGGCAAGGGGGTCGGATGCGAAAGGCAAAAAAGAGGCGCATGCATGACCTGAATGACCTGAATGACCCATCTCAGTCTTTTGTGCCAGAGCTTCTGAACCTGTTTCTGGCCGTACGAGCCTGCAGGTTTCATCCTGATCACTTTGCAGATTGCGGTCTGGGGCTCAGGAAAGCTAGCGAGCCGAGTCGGTTGTACTGCTATAATCACCTGAGCTCCACATGTTTCCACAGCTCAAGAGGGTTTCCTGCCCAAGCTTCGGCGGCCACGGACGCGGATTTCCACCAAGAGGGTTGTTGATGTTCGGGGTGCGCCTTGGTCCCCCGTTCATTTCTGGTCGTGGGAGGTCTTGTTTGCTCAACTGTGCCAGGAGCCCTAGCGTGACGGCCATCACGGGAAATTGAGCTGTGGCCACATTGGGCTGGTACAAGTGTGGCCCTTTTGGTAATATGTGTGTACCAATCTTTGAGGCTAGATCCACAAGAAGCGGCCCTGACATGGAGCCTGGCCAACTCCATTGGCTCACGACCGTCGCAGGTGTGGATCGCCACCATTGTCTTGGCCCTGTTCGTGATCTCGCTGATCACGGAGACCTGCAAGGTTGTGCAACGAATATGCGGCTCGGAACCTGAGTGACGCGAATGGTTCCAGACCCATTTGGCAGACAAAACTGGGCCACTCAAGCCTAGGGTGCTGTATTTGTGAGCGTTATGAGCCAATGGCTGGTTGAGGCCTTGGCTTCGGTTCCATTTGGCCGGACGAGATGCGGTGGTGGGGCCGGCTGCTGATCATCGTGTCCAACCTCACGCCGCTCGGAACATGGAATGTCGGAGTTTTGTTGGATCTCGGCACGGAACAACATGCTTGGGGTTTCGACAATTCAGTCCGAATTGTTGGGCATGTTCTGTGGCAATTGTCATAGTGTTTTTTTCCCCTTGGTCTAGTGCTGGTTGTAAGGGCAATGGATAGGGCGCTCAGTCCCGCAAACGGGCAGGGGAGAATCACAGATCGCAGGGTGTTTTGGATTCCGCTTTCCCTCGTCCCAAATGCAGCGTTCAGTTTGCGGACTGCGGGAGGGAGGGCCTGGCGTGCAGAGCGCAGAGCGCGCAGGCACTTCTTGTGGTCCTGGATGCCGCTGCTTTGGATCGGCTTCTCGGATGCGCTAGCCCGGCAAGACATAATTAAGTCCCAACCACAAATGGGAGCAGTCGCCTTTGTATTTTTTTCACATGGTTCTGGGTAGACCATTTTAATACCAGGTTGTGAAAGCGCCATTTGCCCAGGCTTCAACTTTTACAACGTTTTTGCCAGTCGCGCCTTGACTGCATGTGGGACATCCGGCAGCTTGCAGCAGTGCTGCATTTGAAGCGATGCGGCTCCTTGACCCCAAGGAGAGTTTCACTACTCACCGCTGGGCATGTTTGTATTTACGCTCATCCTTCAGGCTGGGGCATGCTGCCAGATTCAGGGGACGGGAAGTTTAGTTTTTGTCTGTAAGGGGCTCTGGGTTCACTGAATCTGATTCTCTTTTGCAAGGCGCAAGGGTCCCGTTGAAAATCATGGGGCTTCGCCCATCAATCTCAGGGGTATCGCCAACTTTCTCTTCTTCCACGTAGAAGGTTTGAATGCTCCCTGGGCGAGCGGAAGAGGTAGGAGTCGAGTCGCTCGGGACTGGGAGACTCGGAGACTCGGAGACGCGCGGGCAGTTTCTGAACTGGGGCATGATCGCCGCCTCCTGCATGCGCCACTCCCTGGAAGCCTCGATGGAGGCCAATGAGGTGGTGCCTGTGGCTGCATGGGGCGCAGCGGGAGAAGGGGGACGTGGAGGCCTTATACTGCTGTTCTTTGCGACATCCTGAGTACCCAGGGTGGTAAACATGTATGTATGTGCGTCAAGCAGGAAGCACAAGATGTCACAGGGTAGAGCAAGGCGTTGGCAGTTCCGCCTACTCAGATGAATGGGCGTTTGCACATTTTGCTTGCACGTTCAAGGCCATTTTTGAGGCCGTTCTTTGGCAAGCATGTTTTTGCTTCCTGCCTTTCCTGACTTTTCCGGCTTCTTGCTCCTTGAGTAGTTTGGACACAGCCAAGCAAAGGATTTCAATTCGCAACCCTTACAACCTTGGCTGAACACAGACACGCCAGACACCTAGAGGTCAGAATCTTGCCACAATGTTGTTGGACATTTCAACAATACAGGGCCCTGTGCTCGCCATATCCGTTGAATTTGCAGGCCTTGACGTTTGGAGCCTTTCCACTCAGGTCATGCTGACTATCGACAACATTTGGAGATCAGTCCAGAGCATCCTGGCTTCAGCATTGCAACCTGCAAACTGGTCGCTTAGCTGGGTCCGACTTGGTCGGACTCGGCATTGCCGCCTCAGACCCCACAAACAAGCGCAGCGAACGAAATGCAGCTTTCCTTTTTGTTGCGTCTTTGCTTCTTGCCTTGTCAGTGAGAGCCTTGTTCTTTTGGCACCATGTCTTCATCCTTGGCATCACTCAGGGTACTACATCACAGCACCCCTGATGATCTACTCCATGATTGAAGGCACGCAGGACTACATCCGCTTCCACTGCTACGGCCAAGACATTACATTCAACGACCCTCGGCAACCAGTGAGCTGTGGGGAAGCGACATTGGCAAACGGGCTCGCGAGGCAGGTGTTAAACCAACTTGCACTGAGCCATTGCGTCCCAAGGAGCGAGATACCGACGGAAGCTTGGCGGGGTCAAGAGAGTCTTCCGGGGGAGAGCTCACGATCTGATTCAGAAGAATGCTTGGCAACCATCAGAGTCAAAGCTATGATTCACCCAAAAAACCTGAATGCTGCGAGTCACATTGGCAACTCGCTTGTATGTGTTGCGGGAAGCAGTGCGGCAAGTTACGTTGAGACAGTTCGACTGGCCCATGGAGCCACGAGGAAAGATCGCCATCTACCTGGTGAAGTACTGGACTTTGCTCGTGGAGATTGCGGCCATCGTCGCGTGGGTGTACTATGCTTATGCTGAAGAAGTGGATGAAGGCCTTTTGTTGCCAATGAAACCTCCCAATGACACGGCACATGATTAAAAGTTCTTTGGAAGGAGACTGGTCTGGAAGAGTGAGGTTTTGCGGTATATTCGGCTCTCGGCTTTGCTGCAAGGCGGCCTATCGTCGTTGATCATCGTCACGGTCATTGCATTGGATGTACTCCACCCTTGCGCCTACCTGTGGGTGGGAGAAACAAAGATGACTCGCGACCTGGCCAGCTCGCTGTCCTGGTACCAGGCCTGGGATTGTATGGGAGGTTGGCTCATTTTGCCAACTAAAGTACAGTACGTGCCCTTGTTCATGCGTGCGTGCGCGCGTGCGTGTGCGCGTGCGTTGTTGTTTTTTTCGTTTGTTTGCTTGTTCGTGTGTGTGTGTGTGTCTATGTGTTTGCGTGTTTGCGTGTTTGCGTGTTTGTGTCTTGGTGTGTCCGTGTGTCTCTGTGTTTGTGTGTTCGTGTGTTTGTCTATTTGTGTGTCTGAGTGTCTGTGTGTTTGTGTGTTTGTGCGATTGTTGTGCGTGCTTTTTGCGTGCGTGCGTGCGGGTACCTGTTTAACCGAAGTGAAGGGTTTTGTGCTACAATGTAGGCTCGAAGGCCTTGACACGCGGTTAGGTGGACAACTGTTTGGACAACCACTTGTATTCTAACACCCGTCCTCAGCTTCTGCCTTTGGCATTGGCTGCGTTGCATCCGGTGCATCACCATCTTCATTGTGCGGAATGATGCAAGTGTACCGGATCCAACACCAGACCAACACAGTGCAACAGTATCTTGTGAACGGATTGTGTGTCGCTGTATGTTCCCCGCGGTTGGCTCACTGGCCTCGTGTTCTGCTCAATCTCCTGTGTGTCAGTACTGTTGCTGCGGTAGGTGTTGAGCTTGGCCATGTATTCGCTGAAGTGCTGGAGGTGACGTTTTGGCCGCGTCCGGGATGGCCCCGCAAAAGAATTTTGTGCTTATGCCCCGATATGGGAATGGTGCTGTGGTAGGCTGCCAAATATGTGAGCAGCGTCTGTTGGTATCGGGTGTCCGGTCTCCCTTGTCGGTCATGTTGATGTCCTCAATGTTCACCGCCTGGTTGTGAGTCCACGTGTGCCCATTCCTCCATGTGCCCCTTTCGAGCATGTGGAGGAAGGCGTCCTCCGATTTATTTGAAGAGGCTTTTCCTCCATTGTGTTCAGACTGTTAAGACACTGGAATGCGGTTCTCTCCAGTTGCCGTGAAATGTACCTGAGGTGTACCTTTGCTGTCCTCGGTGATGTGCTGCACGAAGTTCCTGTACTCTTCATCAGTCAGGGGGCATATACCCTCAGTCCGCTGTCCAGTGTACCACGTGTCCAAGGTGTGTCACGAAATCTGTACGAAAGCAAAGGGTGTAAAATGGCTGCAGCGTGTGTCAAAAAGATTGTTCGGAATGCATCCACATGACGCAAAACCACATCACGCAAAACATGCTCCAATGTACAAGGTTGTGAGAGCTCAGCCATGGCTGCTTCTACCCGAATATGCGTGCCGACCTGGGAAAATAAACATAGCCGAAGTGCAAACCAGGCACTGCTTTGTAGACGCTCACTTGCGCGCCCGGCACTCGCAGCAGCAAGCAGACGCGCAGGCGTGCCGGGCCGTTGTTCTTGAATGTGGTCTCGTTTGTTTTCTTTGCGCTGTCTTGAGACTTACTTTAGAGCCTCCGGCTCAGTCCGCCGACATTGTCCTCTCCCTTTTCTCCTTCTTCCCTCTCCCTTGTCTCCCTCGTGCGTTCTGTCGTCCTCTCTCCCTCCCTCTGCTCCCCATTCTCCCCATCCCCCCAAGCCTCTCTCTCCTCAATCTCCCACTCTCTCTCTCTCTCTCTCTCTCTCTCTCTCTCTCTCGCTGTCTCTGTTTCTCTGTCTCTTTCTGTCTCCCTGTCTCCTTCCTGTCCACGCCCCTCTACAGAAAAAGGGCACCCTAATTCGAACCTCTCTACTCTCTCACTTTCTCGCTCTTTCTCTTTCTCTTTCTCTTTCTCTTTCTCTCTCTCTCTCTCTCTCTGTCTTTCTGTGTCTCTCTTTCTCAGTCTCCGTCTTTCTCTCTCTCGCTGTCTCTCTCTCTGTCTGTCTCTTTCTCTGTTTCTCTGATTCTGGCTCTGTCTCTCTCTCTCTCTATCTGTCTCTCTCTCTGTCTCTCTCTCGCTCTCTCCCTCTCTCTCTCTCTCTCTCTCTCTCTCTCTCTCTCCCTCTGCTCTCTCTCTCTCTCTCACTCTCTCTCTCTCTCTCTCTCTCTCTCTCTCTCTCTCTCTCCTCTCTCCCTCTCTCTCTCTCTCTCTCTCTCTCTCTCGCTCTGTCTCTCTCTCTCTGCATTGCAGCGTCACGTCCCCCCCTGAGTTGCCTCGATGTCCGGGCACTGCCCCTGCATGACCCTGAACTGTCATCTCACTACTGGCTTTCCCCCTTCATGTCCTTGTCACGTTTCCCATGATGTCCTGGTCCTGTCCCTTCCATGCCATTCAGCCCCCCCTTCATGTCCCTGACATTTTCTCGGTATGTCCGCTTCGTTTCCCGTTCTTTCGTTGCGAGTCATTTCCCTACATCTCCCGTCGTGCTTGGTTTCCTTGTGCTTTGTTTCCTCTCCTTCCCCCTGCACTCCCCTTGTTTTCATTTCTGTCCCTTGCATGTCCCTTTCAGTTCCCCTTTGTTTCCCTTTCATGTTCCGCTGCTTTCCTGTCATGTCGACTTCCTATTTCCTCCCCTCATTTCACTTGCACTTCCTTGCATTTCCCCTCTGCTCCCCAATATTTCCAGCAAAAAACACGGGTTTTCCAGCGTTTTCACAATTAGGACGTCCAAAAACACAGAGTTTTTTCCAGATTTCCTGCAAAAGGAGGCAGGAACCCCAAACCAGCAAAGAGCCGGCAGGGGGAATCGAGCCTGGGACCCCTGTTTTGCGACACCGGCTCCCCGAAGACTACGTTTAGTGGAACGTCATCAAATTGCCGCGCGGTCCTTGGGCGGGGGGGGGGCCCCCCCCCCACGTATCAGACGTCGGGCGGGGGGGGGTTAGGGGGGGGGTTATCCTCTATCCTCTCTTAGGTGTCCGACACGCCGAGCAATGTCGGCGGACTTGCGTGCGCGATGCTGGCAGCTGCAAGTGCTGCAAGCAAACGCGTGCGTTTCTTGCCGCTGTTTTGTATGTAGTCTCGCCGGTGTTTCTCCCCCTGTGTTGTAGATGTCGTTTGGCGCAGGCTTTTGCCATGTTCGGACTTCCCCGTGCAACTGTTTGTGGAAGGCCTTGCGTTCCTTCCATTGTGCGCGCTCTTGCAAATGGTGTGTATGATACCCTCCGGCAATGCTCGTGTCCACGTTTTGAAACACCTCAACTCTCGGTGGGCCCAGTCGGCCAAGCCAGCGAGGCCTTCACATCTTCGGGGTGGTGGGAGTTGTTTCTGCACGACCTCATCCTCAACGAATGTGCCACTTGGATTGTCTGGTATCCCCATCTAAAAGGCGGCACAAGGCGTGCGCTGGCGAAGGGACGGCCCGGGATCTTTCTGCTTTGTGGGTTGGAGCGGTTGGCCGCATGATTGTGCAAGGGATCTGCTGCATGCGGGTTTGTCAATTTTTGGGGAGCCATCAAAGCGATTTTATTCCTTCAGATGCAAGCGACGAGAGGAATCCTTTCGAACATGTGTGAAACAACGGCCAACGCCTACAATGTGCACCCCTGCGATCATTTGGCTCTGAGTCAGAATGCGGAGCGGCTCCAAAATGGGGGGCTTAGGTTTTTCTGTACTTTCCTTTCCTTTGGTTTTCTTCTCAAGACGTATCCGTAAAGAGCCTTCGCGACGCATTTTCCCGCGGTTTGTCGCTGAGGTGAGCGGCGTACTGAAGTGGCTGGGCCCCGCCTGGATGATCGCCATGCCACTGCTGACGCTGCTGCTGCCGTACTTGGGAGTGAATCAGGCGGGGGTTGGGGTCAGAGGAATTGCTGCTCCATAAATAGAACAGGAGCCACAGCAAAAGCAAGAGCACGGAGGTCGGATTTGAAGCTCATTCCGCGGACACTCCGATTTTCCCCCTAGTGTGATGTCGAAGTGGTTGGGGATCCACACACTCAGTGACGCCCTGGCAGGCTTTTATGCTGGTGGCGACGGTGCACAACCGCTGAGCCGAAGGCCTTTGAGGGGAAGCTGGCTCCGTTGGTACATGCCAGGTTCCCAAAGGCCCGTTTTGTTAGCAACCCCATTTTAAGGCGGCCGCTTCTCGAAGAGCATGTCCCTGGTGCAGGGCGGAGCGCCAACTGGCGCCGGGCGGATTCCGGAGTGACTTAGGGGCCCGTCTTTCGCTCCTGCGAGGGGGCAGGTGCCTCGTTTCCGTGCGCGAAGACCGCACCAACTTAGGAGCAATCCGATCGATTTGAGTGTAGGCCGCTTAGGGCCGACCAGGGGCAGGGTTGCGCATTGGTGAGATATGCTTGATCCTTAGGGCATTCCTGGCCAACGCAAGATGATGTTTGGCATTTCCAAGCCCAAGGGTGCCGGCTCCAGGGTTTTTCCCCAATCCCGAGTCCCTGCCGAGGGTCCGTGGCCGGAGAGACTGAGGGACCCTGGTGTGTCAAGGAGTTCTTCCAAGTCTCCAGCGCCCATGGGATATCGCAGTTGAAGGTTTCCTCGTTTTCTCGGGCCAAAGATGGGGTTGGGCTGGACACAGTATCCCTTGCCCTTTCTCTCCGGCAAGAAGATGGCCCCTGCGGGCGGACGGCCCAGAAAAGGCGGTGAGCGGAGTGGATGGGGCCCATTGTGGCCAAGTCGAGCAAGCTTGATTCACAGAATGCAAGGATGGGGGCTACCAATGTTTCCCTTGAAAGCCATGCTAACATGGGGTTGCTGCGTCGAAGCTAGGGAAACTGTCGTGGGCGGAGTTGGAGTTCGGCAAACAACATGAAACCACCCAATTGAAGGGATCCCATTCTTTTGGCTTGGCGCATTCCATGGATGATGCTACTAGCAGAGGCCCGGAGGCGTCGTATGATATTTTGTGCAAATGATGTTTTGACCGATGGTCTTAGTGTAGACAGCGACGGAACCGCTGCGCAGATAGGATGGTTGTTGCCGATCTGCTTGGGTTGGCTAGAATTGGGACCTTTTCCAAGCATCACGTAGGATGGCTTGATCGGTGTCTCCATGGACGCGCCAGCCGCAACCTGTACTGAGCGATTGGAGGTGTTCGCCGTTCCGAGCATGGCTCAGAGTGGGGCTTCCGCTGTCCCTGGCGAAGGAAGGGCCGGTTTTGGGGATCGTGTGGAGCAAGCGCAAGCCGAGTGACTGGCATTTGGATCAGCTTCTTGGGGATACAGGTCTCTGTTTAGAAGGGGCACAACGAGTCACGTGCAGGCTCCATGGCAGAGCAGAATGGCATCGACCAGCAACAGGCGTGGGAGCACGGGCCACATTAGATGCGGGCGAAGAGGGTCCTTGTGGGGAGGGTCTGTAAAGGGACCAAGATGACGCAATCTCCTGTGGAAGGGTCGCTACTTTTGACACGCCAACATGTGTGCGATCGCCTAGGCTACTGGGCTCAGTAGAGCGGTTGCGCAACGCCCTTTTTGTGGAGAAAGCCCTGGCACAAATCTGAGCTTTTCTGAGCCATGTTCCGAGGGTGCCTTGTCAAAACTCCCTTTGGTCCCGAACAGGGCTGAGCCACCTACATAGGGGAGTGGACCCACCCCTGACCCAAATTGCAAGGTTGCGCAGGCCACCGTCGCGGCAAGCAGGCTGGAGTTGCCAGGGCTAAGGGCCCAAGATTGGGACCTCTCACATCATTTCTCATGAGGTTCGCTGATGGACCAGCCAAAACCAGGCGGTTTTCTTGGAGGTAACCTCTTGGACATGGCGAAATGGCCAGTTTTTCAGAGGGAGAGAAGCGCTGGGACATGGCTAGGACTGTCACCTTCGAGCTGGAGGAGGGGCAGGCGACCGGAATCCGACTGAGCTCGTTGTGGCTTAAAACAATCACAAACAAACAAACAATAAATAGCAAAGACAAAAACACAACATCCCTTGAAGATGTTCTATCTGAATCTTGTCTATACCACACCAGTGCATGTACACAGGGGATTTGAGGGATTTGGTGTTGGGACCTCGTTTCATTTCCCAGTCTGCATGATCTCCCGGCCAGGGCAGTGCGCGCAGCCCGCGCGGTGCTCAGAGCCCGCGCGGTGCTCAGAGCCCTGATGGGCCCGCGGAAGCGAGGCACGACGCTTCCAAGGCCTTCGGGTCCTGAGGGCATGCCATGCTTCCGACTAAGGAGCGCCCCAGCGACCAGAATGTCGACCAGGATGTCAACCAGCATGTCCAGGCCAGCAGCCTGCCCTGCAGTCTTGAAGCTCGCACAGAGCTCGGGTGTTGCGAGAGCTTTTCTCTGTGGGTTGCGTTCTTGTCGGTGCCTGGAGAAGCAAGCCATGTAAGGTGATCACCTCATGTTTGGCTTGCACAGTGCCTTGGGACTGTGAGCTAGACAAGTAGATGCGTACTGCAATCCAGTGGACACTTTTTGTCGCTTTCTCCGATTTGGAGCCCTGCTGGAACTGGCCGGACTCGCCAGGGTAACTCGGCGCCTGGCTAGCAGCAGGCCAGCAGCGCCTGTGCTGCTGGTGGGCGGTTGGGCTGCTGTGCGGTTGGGCAGTTGGGTGGTTCGCTTGGTTGGTCGGTCGGTCGGGTAAGGGCAGGTCGGGGGTTAGTCTTTGAGTTTAGTCAGGGTGGATGTTCAAGCCTTGGGTTGGGTATGTATTGGTTCAGGCTTGGCTTATGCTTGGTTAGCCAGCTCATTGCCCCTCAACTAGACGGGCCACCTTGACCAAGCGTTTGAAGTGACTGATGGACCGGATTTCGCAAGATCCGCCATCCAGCCAGCTTGCAAACCTCGGGGAACCCCTAAGTACATTTCTGCAGAAGGGCATCAACAGGCAACCCCTGATGATTGACAAGTTCACTTAAACAGATTTGTTTGTGAAGCCTCAGATGTACATGGGCGGGCTCAGCGCGAAGATATGTGACATGTCATTTTTCATAGCCTTTGCTGCGTTTTCCAGCTGTCCTTCAAGACGGCAAGATGTGCATTGAGATGCGATCCCAAGCAGACTCGGCGCGCGTAATTTCCTCCCGCGCGCCGTCAGGTCCCTTTGGCGCTACCCATCGAGCCACGGCCAGATCCCTCGCTACATGCAGAGGCCGGCGGCTCGTTTGGGTTTCAGGCCTGAATGCGGCCTCTTTTTGTTTTGGTTGTTTGTTGCCATTCCAAAATCTTCTTTCCAAGCCTTCACCAGCCAGAAATCCACCAGCGGAAGTTCACCATTCCTTTGATTTTTCCCACCGGTGACATCCACCAGCCGGCAGATTTTTCCGGGCGATCCCTTGAGGGCATTCCGCCTCAAGACCTTTGGCCTGATGACTCTTCAGCTGGCCGCTGTCTTGGGCATCGTGGCGCCAGGGCTCGAATGAGCCCCGAACGGCTTTGCGCAGCTGGGTGGTAGCCAGCGGACTTTGCCCATTGGTGTGCGAAATGGGCCAATTTTTGGAATATCAACAGGAACTTTTGGAGCACCGAGTGTTTCCCGATTGACAAGTCCCCTCCAAACATGCGTTTCCTGCCGCCTTTTTCGGGGGTCCAAACGAAGGGCGTGCTGTTTTTTTCCCCAAGAGCTGAAAGCTTTGGGGTCTCAGCCCAGATAGGCTCCGGGGTGGTCCGCGGCCCTGAGGCAAGGTTCCACGAGGGTTCCACGAGGGTTCCACCAGGGTTCCACGAGGGTTCCACGAGGTTCTGCGAGGGCTGCAGGGCGGTGCGAGCACTAAAAAGAGCAAGGCATGCTGTTGAGGATATCACCTGAGCTTATTTGTTGCCCAGCACATGGTTTTGGTCTGCCTGCGGCTGGCTGAAGTGCTGAGGTGCTGGCGAGGTGGTCAAAGGTGCCGGAGCACTTGGCAGAGGCGATCAACATGATTTGGCGGCAGGCCGAGCAAACAAGACTCATCAGAGAGTTGTCCACCTTACGCTGCAGATTAGCATTGCACTCTGGGAAAGGGGAAGGCTGCAAAAAGAGAATGGGTGTGAGCCTCATTCGGTCCCTTTTCGTTTGATCAATTCGGGTGCGGAGCTTCGTAAAAGCGCCGGACCTCTGTTTGGCCAACATGAAGCCTTCTACCGGGGCCATTTTTGGGGTTCCAAGGGGCACCCACCGCTAATTTGACCATGCCTAAGGCACCCTTTACCATGGCGCAGGCTCACGTTTTGTCAATTTGCTTTGTGGCCGAGCCTTGCACTGCTCGCTCAGGGCATTGTGTACTCCATCGGCGTGCTGAATCTGCTAGGCATTTTCTTGCTCAACTGCTTCAAGGACTCTCGCCTTTCTAAATTGGCAGGGCTCGCGGGCTGTGCGCATGATGTTGGCCCAAGCTGGGGAACATTTGTGCGGATGTTTTGTCACGCTCAATCATGTTTCTGGCTCCAACTTCCCCCGTTCTTCCAGCGATCCTTCGTTCCAGAATCTCGCGAAAAGTCCAAGCAGAAGACAGACGATGGTTGGACAGAATGGGGAATCAATCCCTAGAATGTTGCCCAGGCATTGTTGATTGATTGTAGCAAGAAGCACATATGAATGATTCTTTTGTGAGTTGTTGCTGGATTGCCTCTTCCGTGGGCGAACAATCCGAGTTCGTGTGTGAAAAGGGAACCTGTTGGGATTCGAACCAGGGCATCGCACAAGCCAGTTGAGAACCGTTGTAAGCAGTGGTAGCGCCAAATGGCCTGGAGCACGGGACGGCCGCGCCGCTCAGGATCGCTTCCCTTTGAATTACTTGTGCCTCGGCCTTCCCCGATTTGGGGTACGCATGGGTTGTTGGGCAGGCCGGTGGGTGGCTTCTGTGGCGGAACGGTCTGGCCATGGAGCAGGGAAAGGCCGGAACGATATTGACCCATTTTTTGCGTGGCAAATGCTGCAAGACATAGTAGGAGCACACGCTTCTTTTCTCACAACTTGCCGGCGGTCCTTGGGATGCCCTTGAATCTGGGGCTTCCACCGATGCGGCAATGCGGTGCAAGTTTGCGCTCCTTCCTAGGTTCCTGGGCTTGACCACCGTGATCTCCGGGCTTTTTTGGTCCACGCGCCTCGACCCGGGGGATGGGAGGCATTTGCTTTTGGGATGGTTCTACTCCCAAGAACCACATAATGACGTTGGTTGAGACTGGAAGCAGCCTCATCCAACAGTTTCAACTCCGGGATTCCACCAATATGCACCAAGCGAAGGGACAGGCAACGTCGAGGTCACAGCGTTTGAGTCGGACGTCTTAGGATGCGCTGGGACACCTTCCAGCTTGTCACCGTGCAGATCCAGAGCCTTGGCGGGACGCCGAGCCCAGGGGCCAGTAGAACTCACCATCCTTATCTTGGTATTTTTACAAATGGCGTACCCAACGCTTGACTCTCCACACATCTCCGTCTGACCAGGAATTGCCCAGCATATGAAAGAGAGATGAAGGGATGACTCGCCCATTGCACGCGAGGGAAGGGAGCGGCCAAGTGGCCAAGAAGCACCACCTAAAGATGAGATTCTTGGAGAGACATATGAGTGGAGATGCTATAGCGTGATCGTGGATGAAACAAGCAACTCCCAAGCAACTCCCTTTCTCACCTGCTCACCGCCTAGATACAGAGGAAGGGAGATGTAGGAACGGGACAATGGCTGAGAGGGGATGGACGCGCAAATCCCCAGGAAATAGGGTCAGCCACTTGAGTGTTGAAAGTTAGCTCCACATGGGACAGCGAAGAGACTCCCCTGAACTGGCCCACGCGACTACCTTCAGTTGGTCACGGTTGGTTTCCTTTAAACTCGTTTCCCTTTATCTAGGTCCGACCACTTTTTCAACGTTTCCCTCATGCGGTCTGGGCCGAGGGTTTTGGCCATCCTCTGCGTGACCATGCTTGTGGCCACCGCGCCTTGGTTGAGGGGTAGGTGGCAGGTTGGATCCAGTGAAGGTGAGCATTTCGGAGGATGACATGTGTTGGTTGTTAGGTTGCTGGCAGCTTGATGGTTGGGTGTTGCACGCTTTCCGTGAGCTGAACTTTTTGCGTCCACTTCGAAGACTCGGAGATAGGATTTGTGTGTGGCAGCGAGAAAGAGAAGTGCAAGGGCCGAGCCCGAGTCTATGTCACGCCTGTGGCTGTTTACGGCCAACAAAAAATATGGGCATGTACAGCTGCAGATTCAGGATTTCTTGGAAAGCAGCTGTTCGCGCTCAAGGCCTGAGTAATTGAAACAAGCAGGTTGATGAATGGGCGGGGCCAATGTTTGACTGCATCCGTAGCTTCTGGGGGGTGGTGTTGCGCTGAAGGTTTCCGGGGTGAACATTAGCTCTCCCCGGTTCTTGGTTGGTCCCTGTCCAGCGCTTCGGGGTGGGTCTAAAGGTGGTCTCCTTTGTGCTGTCTGGCCTGGAGCGGAAGATCGCGGACAATCAGATCCTGCTGCTGTCGCTGGTGCCCGCCTGGCTGTTCGGGTGCTGCACTGCCCCTCGGCTTTCCGGGCGGTGAGGAAGTTGTTCCGGGCCCCTGCTCAGGCTGTGAAAAGGACACCAAACATACTCTTTTTTGGGGTCCTTTTCGGACACCTTGGAAGACGGGTGTTTGTGCACTTGGATGTTGCTCGGCTTTTGCCCATGGCCATGACTGGTTATGTTGGGCTGGACAGATAGACAGCAAAAGCACCATATCTACCGGTCAGATGTCCCATCACCTCTTTTGGCATGCGCAATACCAGCAGTGACATCAAGTCCACAGTAAAGAGACAACTTTGGTGCATTTTGCTTGCATGTTAGGACTTAAACTTTTTGCCAACAAATGGGTTTTCCATTAAACCACTAAAAGTTAAACTTTTAGCAGGGGAGCAGAAAGCAACCGAGCAAAGATAGTGGGCATGATTTCAGCTTATGTGAGCTACAGCCCAAATCGCTGCATCTTCTGCCGACTCGCGAGGCATGACCATGAACGGAGAGTGAAAGGGGCGAAACTGGTCGGTGTGTGAGTTTGCTGCATGCAGCATCATATCTCAGGTCCCTCGATTCAAAGAAGCTGCCCAACATTCAAAGAAACTGCCCCACACCATGGGCTTTTGTGAAGTGCAGGCTTACTTCCTGTTAGAATTCCCAGCTGACTTTCCTTCAGGTTGGACTTCAGAAGGGAGCTCTTTGCTTCACCAACTCGGCATAAAATTGCATTTGCGCAATCGTCTGCCAGCAAAATGCCGATTTTGGCTCTTTCAGGTTGGGTCGGTGGTACCCGCCACCTTGCCTTGAGACACGATCAAGCTCAGTTCAGCACTGAGTTTTCCCCATTTGAGCGAGCAAGTTGGGAACAACTGAGGGTCAGGAGTTTCGTTGACTTCCTGGAACACCGTTCGAGCATGGGCCCCTTTCCAATTTTGAATCACCTCGGTAGAACATGGTAAACCGGCCATATTCTGTTTGGCTAGTTTCAAAACCCATCTGAAATGGTCAGAAGAGCCCTTTTACGTGGGAAGGGTCGGGATGGTCATCAACTCCTGAACAGATAATTTGGACCACTGACCAGCAAAGGTTCAAAACTATTCAAATTCAAGACCAACGCAAAGGTGTTTTGTTTGGGCGCACGCGCTCGTGAGGCTCTCCTGGCAGACTTGGCGCTGGGCGCCACACCGTCGCAGGTGCTGGGATCCATTGGCCTGGGAACCCGGAGGGCACCCCTGGGACTGGAAAAAATGCGGCCTTTCCGTTTTTGCTCCTTTTTCGTTCCTTTTTTTTGTTGTTGCCGGAACGAGAGACGGAGTGGGTGGGGATCCTGGGACTTCCTAGGACTGTTGCGGCGGTTGATCAAAACGTGGGGCGTCATGGGGGATCTGCAAAAGAATCCCGGGGTGGACGCTGGGTCGGATCTTTCATTCACCCACACGTGTTTTGTGTCCAAATTGGTGACCCTGGGCTGTCTTTGTTCAAACTTGCCACAAGTTACCGGCGTAGGATTACTTTTCCCCATTTGAGCGCTATCCGAACAGTCTGAGGCTGGTCCGTGGTGCTGCTGGGTATCCTTTCCCTGGACGTAGGTGGGGATGAGGATGTTTGTCTTTGAGGGTACACCACCAGTTTTCGGGGTTCTGTCCTTTGGAGACAAACCCGGATTGGGCTTGTGCACTTGGACATTGCTCAGCTTTTGTTTTTTACCACTCGGACGGGTGCAGAACGGCGCTGAGAGTGGCATTTGGGTGCAAAGTGGGGGTTTGCCACCTGCCGCATGTGGTGAATCGAAGATAGCTATGTTTTGCGTGCTTCGCAAGTCAGGAGTTGTCTCAGCTTGCCTTGTCTATGCTGCGAGTCTCTGAGCCTTTGGTGGCAGGCAACCTACTTGTGCGCTGTGACCCGGATGACTTCATGCTGCTCGGCAGAGGCTTCGGTTGTGGCAAGGAGGCCCAAGCTGTCTGCGTTCTGACCCAGTGCCATTATATAAAAAGTTTGGCGATTCCTAACTCAGCAGGGCCTTGCCACGGAAAGTGGAAAGGTGGGCATATTGTGCTGGGGTGCAGATTGTGGAAATGATAGGATTCTGCTGTACGGCCAGCTTTTGCTCATGTCCGATAAAACGCGTGTGAACCATTCGACGCGGTTTTCCCGCCGTCTTTGCGGTTGCCATTCTTTCCTTTCCTTCTTTGAGGGCTTCGTCGTTTTTTTTTCTTCCCCATTTTTTCTCCAGTTCTTCTTCTTTTAACGGACGAGGAAGAGGACGAGACCAGGAAATTGGGGGGGAAGGGATGTGGGATGGGCTGAAGGGATCGCCAGGCAGTTTTCGGTCCGAGCAAAGGCGAGTGCTGGTGGCCATGAACTCCACGATGCTCGTGGTGGCCGGGGGAGCCCAGGGTGACCCGAGCGACCCGTTGGGCCATCGAAACCCCGGAGGGAAGGTTTGGGGACCGTCCCGAGCAGAAACAAGCGTGGGAAGGTTTCTTTTGCGGTTGGTGTTGAAGAGGTCTTTTGATTCCGCGACTGGTCTGCAATTTGAGATGGTTTGCTAGATTCCTTCCCTTTTTGTGCACCCAAGAGGTGGGGGAGTACCGACATTATGCAGTAGGCATATCCGTTGCTCGTGTCAAAACATGTTGGTTCTGCGTTTGACTTCGCCCCCGCCCCCCAGAAGGGTTTCCCTCTATTCGGACCTGCTTGGTTGGCGAGCAGGTGCTTTCACAAAGGGTCTCATTTGTGGGCGCCCTTCTGGATGCTTGTATCTTTGATAACAGCAGGACATCCTCCATTCAGAAGGATGCTCATGGTGCATGCTGCATTCAGGGACGTGCCTTTGTTTGGCGTTTTTGAACACCTCCATGTGACATGGGGCACTTTGCGACCAAACAGCGTCCAAACGAGTGCCTTTGAGGTCAGCATCCCCTTCTTCTTCCTAGCGTTCTGCGTCTTGCGGCTGGACCAAGCGCAGGCGCTTGATCAGGGCCTTTTGCTGTTGCTGGAGTGCATCCCTCGGAATGGTACGTGCTGTGGATTGCCGTGCTGGGTAAATGGGAAAAGCGCCTTTGCACTGGCGCCCTCTCGAATTGGTTTTGAACCCACATGCCACATGTCTCTGAATCTCCTTGCGGAACGCCCTCAAAACGATTTGATCTGCGGATGTCCAAGTATGGTCCAAGCGGTTGAACATTCACACAACATGGACCCCGACAAAGGCCACGGGGGTTGCCCATGACTCGGCAGCTGCTCGCGCCCCCTCGCGCGAGCTCCGCTCAGGAGGAGCTGGAGCCGGCGGTGACACAGAGCGAGGAGCCGGCGGTCATCGGCGCGGGGGTTTAGCGCGTGGCAAGGCGCGGGGGTCGCGACGCGTGAGTGGAGACGACATGAATTCTTCCCCAGAAGTCTCCCCCTGCAAAGGGACAAGGGACATGTGCCATGCAACTGCATCTCTTCATCAATAAATAAGTATATATATATATAATTTTATTTAGATAGAATTGTATATATATATATATGTTGTGCTATCCCCCCTCCAAATGTCTACTCTTTTTTGGTTTCACTAGTATTTGCGGTGTTTCATGCCTTTTTCAGTGCTTTGGGGAAAGCAGCAAAACAAATGTGCCTTCTTAAAATCTAATTAGATTCTATTTAGAAACTGGGAGAAGCAAGGAAGTCCTCTGTAAAATCTAATTCGAATAAAGCATCACAATTCAAAATATTGTTCCAACAGGAAATCCTATTTACATCATCGTTTAAACTATAAATTTTATTAGGATGCTTTACTGTTAATTTCTATCTAATCTCCAATTAGAAACTTGAACAACTCAATCCTAGCAAAAACAAATTTGAAATAGTAACTCCAATTAAGCATATTACCTCAACGAACGCCTACTTATATTTACATTAAAGCTAGACAGTCTACTAGAAATCTGTCCTTATTAAATTCTATTTAATGTTAGATCAAACAATACAACTAGAGCATGATTTAAGTTCCAATTTCAAATTTGACTTTGAAAAGGACAACCTATTTAGATTATCTTTAAACTAGAAATAGTACTAGGATTATTTCCTTCTAAACTCCATTGAACTTTTATAGAAATTGAAAACACGATCCTAGAAAAAGAGACCCCCTTTAGAATCGATTTCTAAGAAACAAATGAAGCTATAATTTGATCCGTTTTCAATTTTATTGTGTGATCATAATTTACACATAGTTTAACAATGACATGATTGTAGTAGAGTTTCTGGTTTTAACGATGATTTAGATACGCATGTTTTAAGCGAAGGGCTTGAATTGGACTTATTGCACATCTTCTTTGAACAGGAACACCTATTTAGACTCTCTTTGAACTGGAGCATCCTACTAGGAGTATTTCCTTATTAAGTTGGAAGAAGAAAAGGAGACCGCCTTTAAAGTCTAATTTAACATAACCATTCCAATTAAAAATAGTCTTTGAAAGGAGATGCTATTGAAATTACTTTTTCAGAGTTCATAGGTATTTGCAGTGTTTTCTGCCTTTTTTGGGGCTTTGGGGAAAACAGCAACAGAAAAGGCACATGTCCAAGGACAATCCGCAAGCTTCAGTTTAAACTTTTCCAGCGAATCTTGAATCCAGGCCCGAATAAAAAAATAGTCGGTTTGAATCTACCACTGTCCTATTTCTAAGCTGAGGTTTGGTCAGAAGATGCCAAACACAGCAGCAAAGAAGAGAGTTTTGGGCCCAAATTGTTTAAACCATTAAAACCCTTTCTGAGAGGAAAGGTCCCCCCAAGGCGGCCCCAAACCTTTCTCAGAGGAAAGCCCCCTCCCCCCCCCCCCGCCCTCAAGGCCTAAAACTGTTTAAACCGTTTTGATCGTTTAAACCGCCTTTCTCAGAGGAACCCCCCCTCCCAGGGTTCTGACCAAAGCCGTTTAAACCGTTTAAACTGTTTACTCAAATGAAAGGCCCCCCCAGGGTTCCACCTGAGAGAGGGTTCAAACGCTTCAAATGCTTCAAGCGGTTCAAACGCTTTTGGGCCCAGTCCTTTTCTCTGAGAAAGAGTTTAAACGGTTCAAACGGATGAGTTGGAGAGTCTTTTTCCTTTTGCAGAGTCAGATGTAGTGGGCATCACAGATGAAGACAGACAACAAGGTAGACATTTGGGGGGGGGCACCATATATGCATATATATATATATATATATATGCTACCCCCCCCCCCCCCCGAGGTACCCAGGTTTGGGCTTGGTTCAGATGTGCTTTGACCGCGGAAGCAGCCAGGAAGAATAGCTCAGATTTGCAGGCTGGGAGACCAGAGGAAGGAGGTTTGCCTCATTGAAGAAAAACGCCTTGGACGTGCCCATGCCCTTTTTCAATGGCTCTTCCACACAAAATTAAATTCACATATCTTTCCACACAAACCATGCATTCTTTCAAAGGCTCTTCCACAGATAACTCACATATCTTCCCAAACAAACCATGCCTTGTTTCATTCAAAGACTCTTCCACAGAAAATTCACACATCCTCTCACCCAGAACAAGTCTTCTTTCACAAAGGTTCACATATCCTCTCACCAAAACAATAACATGTTTCAAACGCTCTTCCACAGAAAGCCCAGATATCTTCCCACACAGACCCCTTCTTTCAAAGACCCTTCCACAGAATATCCGCACAACATCTCACACAAAATATGTCTTTTCAAAAACTCTTCTCTACAGAAAATTCATTCATCCTCTCAGCCAAGACATGTCTTTTTGCATGCCTTCTTTCGCAAAGGTTCACATATCCTCTCACCAAAACATGCCTTTTTCAAAGGCTCTTCCACAGAAAGTTCACATATCTTCCCACGCAAACCATGCCTTCTTTCAAAGACTCTTCCACAGAAAATTCACACATCCTCTCACCCAACACATGTCTTTTTACTTGTCTTCTTTCAATGAAACAAAGGCAGCATATGTGAAAGAGTTACCAAGGAAAGTGAACCCTGTGTAGAATAAAACCAGGCAATGGCTGGGACAGTTTTGTTACATACATGGTGGTTTTACATGATATTTACTGTCTTTTGCTGTACTTTTATGAATCACTGTAACCCTGACTCTTCCACAAAGACCCACATATCATCTCGCACGAAAACATGTCTTTTTCAATAACTCTTCTCTACAGAAAATTCACATATCCTCTCACCCAGAACAAGTCTTCTTTCAAAGGTTCACATATCCTCTCACCAAAACAATAACATGTTTCAAACGCTCTTCCACAGAAAGCCCAGATATCTTCCCACACAGACCCCTTCTTTCAAAGACCCTTCCACAGAATATCCGCACAACATCTCACACAAAATATGTCTTTTCAAAAACTCTTCTCTACAGAAAATTCATTCATCCTCTCAGCCAAGACATGTCTTTTTGCATGCCTTCTTTCGCAAAGGTTCACATATCCTCTCACCAAAACATGCCTTTTTCAAAGGCTCTTCCACAGAAAGTTCACATATCTTCCCACACAAACCATGCCTTCTTTCAAAGACTCTTCCACAGAAAATTCACACATCCTCTCACCCAACACATGTCTTTTTACATGTCTTCTTTCAATGAAACAGGCAGCATATGTGAAAGAGTTGCCAAGGAAAGTGAACCCTGTGTAGAATAAACCAGGCTATGGCTGGGACAGTTTTTGTTACATAAATGGTGGTTTTACATGATGTTTAGTGTCTTTTGCTGTACTTCCATGAATCACTGTAACCCTGACTCTTCCACAAAGACCCACAGATCATCTCGCACAAAATCATGTCTTTTTCGATAACTCTTCTCTACAGAAAATTCACATATCCTCTCACCCAGAACAAGTAAGGTTCACATATCATCTCACCAAAACATGCCATTTTTCAAAGGCTCTTCCACAGAAAAACCCAGATATCTTCCCACACAGACCCCTTCTTTCAAAGACCCTTCCACAGAATATTCAGACATCATCTCACACAAAACATGTCTTTTTAATAACTCTTCTCTACAGAAAATTCATTCATCCTCTCACCCAAAACATGTCTTTTTGCATGCCTTCTTTCACAAGGAAGCACATATCCTCTCACCAACCCCATGCCCTTTTTGAATGGCCCTTCCACACAAAATTCAATTTACATATCTTCCCACACAAACCATGCATTCTTTCAGAGGCTCTTCCACAGATAATTCACATATCTTCCTACACAAACCATGCCTTGTTTGAAAGACTCTTCCACAAAAATTCACACATCCTCTCACCCAACACATGTCTTTTTACATGTCTTCTTTCAATGAAACAAAGGCAGCATATGTGAAAGAGTTGCCAAGGAAAGTGAACCCTGTGTAGAGTAAAACCAGGCTATGGCTGGGACAGTTTTGTTACATAAATGGTGGTTTTACATGATGTTTGCTGTCTTTTGCTGTACTTTTATGAATCACTGTAACTTTGACTCTTCCACAAAGACTCACATATCATCTCGCACAAAAACATGTCTTTTTCAATGGCTCTTCTCTACAGAAAATTCACATATCCTCTCACCCAGAACAAGTCTTCTTTCACAAAGGTTCACATATCCTCTCATGCTCCGCAAATGTTGCGCAACATTTGGAATTTGTTGCGCAACATTTCCCTGGACCAAAAAACCAAAAAACCAAAAAACCAAAAAACCAAAAAACCAAAGAATCCCAGCCATGGTGGGGGCTAGGATTGGTTTTTTGTTTTTTTTTGGTTTTTTTTTGGTTTTTTGGTTTTTCGTTTTTTTTTGGTTTTTTTTGTTTTTTTGGTTTTTTGGTCCACAAAATGGCCTTGCAGAAAATGCATGAGTTCAATCAAAATACACTGTAAATATCAATGGTTTTGATACATGATGCGACGACACCTGGGTACTGGGGGGGGGTACCATATATATATATATATATATGCTTATATATGCATAACTATGTCTACGACTCCGAACGACTCCGAACACAATTGAAAGACTGCGGCTGTGTGCTAATACACACCGGGGGCACCCCAGGAGCGTAGCATATACACATGTAGAGCACGCTAGCGACCAAGTCCGTCAGCTTGAAAGCTGCAGCTTTAAACCTGACACGCATCCTTCGAAGCACGACCATAGGAAGGCCTCGCTTTCGACTAAAGGATATGATGTTTGGGCCGGAGGCGATGTGTTGAGCTCCGGCCTGCGAGGTCTTTCCAGTCGTCGCCGGATGTGTGAGTCTGGATCCTTTGTCCAAAGCGGCATAGTGATCGCATCTCGTGGACCGTCAGGACCTTTCCACAACCCAGATCGTATGATTCTTATCTCTCATCAGTTTGTGTTTGGCCGAATTCCTTCTCAATTGTGAGCTCAGCTGGCCACCTCACGGTCCACTGAAATGCGACGGTGCTTGAGGTCCCGGAGGCAGAATGCTTCTGTGTGACAGGTTTGATTGCCTAAAGGCATCGGCCATTGGCTTCTTGCCGGCGGCAAAGGCTGCAAATAAACAGTTGTACAGGCCTGGAGCCGCAGAGAGCTCTCTTGTAAAGGGCGGGGGCCCTGTGCACAGAATCCTCAACAGCTTCCGGCTCAGGGGTCTGACAAGTGACCTCTTTTAGAGTCGGAGTGCGTGCATGTTGCCACGGCGGATTCCCTAAATTTTGCGAGTAGGGAGCAAGATGAGAATCCTTCAAATATCCCAGTTGTCAGTTTGCTTGCGGTATGCCAAGGGGCGGCTTGCTGTAGGGAATCACCGTACCCGCCTCACTGCTGAGCGCCGGCAGATGCGCCAGTTTGCGGGAAAGAGGCGGCCAGCCGCGGGAGGACACTGAACTCTTTCCTTACTGGGGGCATGTCGTAGGCTGGCCATGGGTTCACCAGGTGTAAAGCCAGAACTTGAGTCTCTCAAGGCATTTGTCTGGCTTTCCACAAGGGCGTCTCAAATTGAACCTCAGCCCCGCCAAACTGCCCCACATCCAGCCTTTGCCTCACTGCCGCATGGGCCTATGGACCGACAGTTGGCAACTCTTCGCCCTGTTCTGGTGTCGCTCTGGAAGGCTCTTGGCTCCAGCTTGTCGAGTTAAATCTCTTTAGCCGCACGCGCAGGCCAGGGGGGGCCTTGTTTTTTGGACTCCCTCCCTTCCCCCCCCTCCTCTCTTCTCTCTCCTCGCTCCTCTCTCCGCTCTCCTCTCTCCTCTCTCCTCTCTCCTCTCTCCTCTCTCCTCTCTCCTCTCTGTTTCCTCTCGTTCTCTCCTCTCTTCTCTGTCTTCTCTCTCCTCTCCGGTTCCTCTCGTTTCTCTCCTCTCTTCTCTGTCTTCTCTCTCCTCTCCGGTTCCTCTCTTTTCTCTCCTCTCTTCTCTGTCTTCTCTCTCCTCTCCGGTTCCTCTCTTTTCTCTCCTCTCTCCTCTCTCTCCACTCTCCTCTCTGTTTCTTCTATTCTTTTTCTTTCTTTTTCTCTCTTCTCTCTTCTCGCTTTTCGCTTCTCTCTTGTCTTTTCTCTCTTCTCTCTTCTCTCTTCTCTCGCCTCTCGCCTCTCGCCTCTCGCCTCTCTCCTGTCTCCTTTCACCTCTCTCCTGTCTCCTTTCACCTCTCTCCTCTCTGTTTCCTCTCCTCTCTCTCCTATCTTCTGTATCCTCTCTCTCTTCTCTTCTCTCTTCTCTTCTCTCTTCTCTCTCCTCTCTCATCTCGCCTCTTTCATCTCTTGATTCCCTCTGCCTTTGTTGCTCGCCTTGGTGTGCACGAATGCAAGGATTCACCTGCGCAGGTATTCGATCATGTGCGAATGCGGCGAAACGACTGTGAAGACCACGGACGAGCAACATTACCACTATGTTGGTGCGGTGCTGAGTGCGCACTTGAGCACTTGAGCTGCCAGAGTTTCATTTTCAGCTTTGACCAGTCCGCAATCCAAGTGAACCATCCCTGGATGTTTGGTCGCACATGTGCGGTTTTACGGCTGTAGGGGATCAACGCCACGTGGGCTCGCAGCCTCCCTACGTGTGTGTGTGTGTGTGGCACTGAGGTTTTAGTGGTCATTTTCCCACGGCGTGGGTTGGTGGTCTTGCCATGTTAAAAACATCTAAAGGCCTGGTTGCTGTAGTGCTTCCAAAATGGGACACCCCTTTTAACTAAGAGGAAAGCAAAGGAACACCCACTATGAAAAGGCGCTTGTTTTATGGAACGGGGCCCATCCACTCCCGAATCATTTCACAGGATGTCTCACAATACGTGCCGATGCAACTCCCCGCAGCGCCCCAGGCAACGGCAATGGGGCTTATGAGACGGTGTCCGGGCTTCAGTATGTCGGAGAAGGCCAGCAAAAGTGTGCCGACGCAGCCTCCTTCTCGTGTTTTTTTTTTTTTCTTGAGCATGTGGGACACATTCATTGAACAAGAGCTCCTTGCCTTGGACTTCAAAACCCAAGCAAGGGCGTCATTCAGTCGCATGCGGCTTTCGGCAGGCAATGGAAGCATCGATGTCGCGCAGAGAGAGGTGAAAGCGGGTGGCGGCTCATACGCGTGGCTTCTCTGCGCCTTGGCGTGAGGGCTAACCCCATGCGGGCCCGGGGGGTAGCCTAAGCCGAGGCTGTCTGCTGCCGCTGCTGCTCCTTCCGCTGCTTTTCCTGATCCCGCGCGGTTCCCCTGGATTCTCCGAAGTGGTGGTGCCCAGCCCACCGCCAGTGCAGCATCAGCACATCAGGACTGGGTTGGGGCCATCCTGGCCGTGCATCCCACAAGCCAATTCCTCCAACCTCCACTTTCTTTCAAGTCTCATTTTGTCGTGAGTTGCTGGGAAAAGGCAACTGGTTTTGGGTCGCCAGGGAACACTACTACTACGTCGAGCGCAACAAGAACGTGCACGTGCCGGTGCCGGTGCCTCAGCCAGACCGCGTGATCTACCACAAGGCCAGGAGTGCCAGGAGTTTGCCTCGGCCCTTCGAAAGCTTGGGACTGCCTGAGATTGGCATGGCAGGTCTATGATGAGCACATGCACTTCGAATGCTACGGCGACGATGGCCATCCGGACTGGGCCGGTGGGTTCTTGCAGGTGCCTGAATGTTTTCGAATGGATGCTGTGGGCTGTGGCACGAAAGTACGTGGCCAACGCATGGACGTCTCCTCAAATTGAGCACCATCTGAGGGAGGTGAAAGTAAACGAAGCGAACCGAACCCTTTTCCGGGCCTTTGGCTTGGGACGGCCAGGACCACGCCTCCTGGAGCTCCACGCACCGGGACTGGTGCTGCTGGAAGATCGGCATCGCTTGCCCCACGCAGGTGGGAGATTGCTCGGGCAGTTCTTTCGCTTTCCGCGCTTTCCCTTTTCACCAACCTTCGGGCACCTTCAAAGAACGCCCGCCCGCTTGAGGAGTGTTTTTTTTTGGTGTGTGTGCGTGTGTGTGTGTGGGGGGCCGCAGATGGCTGGCCGCAGATGGCTGGCTTCGCACTTCCGGGCTGAAGTCTTTTGAAAGGGCGGGAAGTTGGGCAGCGCCCAAGGCTGGCCCTTCATGGCACATGGCACCCGCGCAGCGTTTGGCACAGCGCCCATGCCTGGTGTTTTTTGGGTCAAGAGGCACTCCAGATGGCTTAAGCGCAGGTCCTCAACCAGGACAAGTACGTGCACGTGACCCACACCCGGCACGTGCCAATCCCCGTGACCGTCCCGGTGCCGGTGCCTGGCGAGGAGCGACTGAAGAGTGCCATGCCCTCGCGACACCTCAAATGAGCTGACAACATATGGGGTGCCATATGGCTGCGGGTGAAAACCAACGGTACCATTTTGGCCCATTTTAGTCTATTTCAGTGGGGATTGGGACGTTCACTGGGGTACCGGCTTTTGACCCATGGCCATATTGGTAATCTAGGGGAGGACACGCGCCCAACTTTCCCGTGACCTTTTATGCATGGGTCAGATGGACTCAGGTGCCTGCATGGAAGGCATATCCCTTGCCCCCCGAATGGAGAATGTGCGCGCGTCAACCGCCCTGCCCGGTTTCTTGCCACAGCCTTGTGTGATTCTTCAGCGCAACTTTTGTTGAGCTCTGGGGCATAAATTAATGCGGGTATCCGCCCTTTTGACTCTTTGCCAAGGGCCCCAGCAGGCCATACTCTTTTTCTTCTTCTTCTTCTTCTTCTTCAATTAAATTAAGCAACCAGACTCTCCGTTGAAGGGGAACACTATGGAGATCGTTTCAAAAGTAGGTACTTAAACCACCTGCCGAATGTTTTCTGCGTTCCAGAGCTGGGCCCCGTGGCCCCATCCTTGAAGTATGGCGTCTTGACTATCCTTTTTCGCCCTCACTTTCTTTTCCCGCCTTGCGCGTCAATGCACGGGCCTCAGGCCTTGTAGTCATGGGGCGTCGCCCAGGTCTCCGTTCTACCGACGGCTCTGTTTGTGTCACGCAAAAGCAGGGCGCGTGGAAGGGAATCAAGCGCGCCGGCCAAAATCAAACCCGGGGTAAGTGAGGGGTAGTCCAAGCCACAAATAGGCGCGCCCGCCCTTTCGACTCTTTACGTTGCTGCCAATGGGTGTGTGTATGTGTGTTCAGATCAGGGGGCCCCCAGAATTGGTTTTCCCATTGGTTTCCCTTCAAAGCCGGCGTTCCCACCTGTTGGCTGTGAATTTGGCATATCTCCTTTGAAAAGCGGTCGAACAAAAGGGGTCCACCATTTGGAGAAAAGTGCCAACCACACACCAAAGCAACAAACCTCAACAGACGTTGAGAACCCCTCCAGAAACCCCCCGCCCCCTCCTTTTCCCCTCCCCCCCCAAGGTTTTCAGTCGACTGCCCCGCCAGACCCCGAAGCCGATCTACATGAAGGTGCCGGTGCCCAGCGAGCCGCTGCCGCCGCGCCACGTGAAGGTGCCGCTGCCCGTCCCGGGCGAGGCCCCTGCCCCGGTGATCCACTACAAGCGCCGCGGCAAGCGTCCGATCCGAACGGACAGGGCACCTTGCAGGGGTTGAGATCCGTTGAGGGACCAAAAAACCCCCAAGGAAGTGGTGTCCTCTTGGCTTCTGTTTGAAGCCAGCCCAAAAAGGACACCATGAAAACAGCGCATTTGGAGCATTCTGGCTTCCGCAGGACAACCAGGAAACTGAGATTTGGGAGGGGGAATGTTCAGCTGGACAACAGAAGAACACCTGTTGAAATGAGCGTTTATCAATACCACATACCCCTTTGTAGCCACCTTGGAACCAAAAGCCTGTCGGTTTTGTAATGGGTCAGGAGGGTGTTTTGCAAGATCCCTCTCTCAGGGTCACACCCCGGGATTTGGTCCCTTTGTAGCCATCCCCTACTAAAAATGGACTGGGATGGCCCCACCATTTTGAACGCAGACCGTCCTAAAGTTGGGGGACCCACTGCGGCTGGTAGGCAAACTAAGAGTTGAGCAGACGTCTTTTTCTTGCCGGGCTCCTTTGTTTTGGGAGTCCGTCTTGCAGCCTGGCATTGACTCGGGCGGTTTGTTGCAGGTATGGAGCCATTCTGCTGGGAGGTTGATGGATGATTTGAATTTGGAGAGGAGTATTCAAGAGGCTTTGCAAATGTGCACGCCCCAAGCCACACCAGGGTGTTGCGGGCGAGGTGTGGCAGTTGATGCTAGTCCAACCGCGGTGAGTTCACGGCCCAAGCACAGCCCAAGCACAGTGAGGTCGCAGAGGAATCTCGGGGCACTCGTTCAGCTGGTTTTTGCCTCTGGGTTGCTTTGAGCGGAGGCATCTCAGAAGTGGGAGATGGCGAGGGCCCTTGGCTGGCGCTCGCTTAGGATGCCGAACTCAGGTACAAGCCGGTGCCGCGGCCGCTCAAGGTGCCGCATGTGGTCTATGACACCGTGAAGGCCGGGACTCCCAAAAGCGGACTGGGAGGGGGGAGCGGTTTGTCTGAATGACGGATGCAAGTTCCTGCATGAATGAATGCTTGCAGCCGAACTTTTGGTTGGCGTGTGGTTTCTACAAAGTTCCCTGAAACTCTAAGAGCCAGGTCCGCGGACACCCGCGATTGGTTTGCTCGCAGGTGCCTTCCCCCTACACGGTGAAGAAGTACGAGCCGCACTACGTGCACGAGGAGCCGGAGATCATCCACAAGACCCGCCAGCACTACGTGACGGACAAAGACTACGAGCCCTGGTGCGGGGCAACACCTGTTTGTCCGTTTCATGTTTGCTTGTTCCTCCTTTCTGCATGTAGTTGCAAGAAGCCAGTTCAGCTCACTGTTTTCAACGTAAAGTGGGCGTCAGTTTGCATGCCATGCCAGTATTGACTAGGCATCGGTCATACGTTGGTTTGGTTTGTGCAGCATTATGACGCTGTTGTTTTGCTTGGGCCGTATCGGTTGAATGTTTCTTCTTCTTCTTCGATTTCCCCGGGTTGTCAGTACAAAGGTCATGACACCAAGACTTTGCGAGCGCGCAGGCAGCAGACTCAGTACAGCTGCACAACAGAACATACGAGTACATGTTGAAGATTTGTGGGTTGCCAGCTGATGGGAAACCCAATTAACGCAAACCAGTAACAAACTTCTCAAGAACTCACCCGCAAGCGCCAACATTGAACCATAGTGACGTGCTCTTTTGCGCTCCAGTCAGACTTTGGTTCGATATTGTTTGTGAAGCTCGCAAGTACAGTATGCATGGAGGGTATGCTACGTTGTATGGATGTCAAAAGCTGAAGGCAAAGCACTTACACATACTTTTGCACACTGTTGTCCAACTTTGGATGGGAGATTCAAGTTTGAAGATTGCCGTGTTCGAGGACCCTGGAGCTTCAACCCAACGTGCCTTGAAGCGCTTAGAGATATGAATCGGACTGAGGCGCACAAGCGCTCGTGGCATGTGCCTTGCCCAGCCCGAGGACTGCACCGAGGGATTCCACGATTACGAGAACCTGTGGAACAGTGACAAGCGCAGGCGCGCCCCCGGGCCCCGGACCGTGGGCGACCCTCCCCACGTATCCCAGATTCTCCGCACGGGAGAGGCGGCAGTTTGGGTGGCCAGGTGCTTTTTGATGTCTGAAAGATGCGCATTTGTGGCACGACCGCCCCAATGGAAGTTTCTTGTGTCAAGGCTTTTTCCACCCACCGCAGGTTCTGCTGCTGGAAGGCGAACCGTGGCTGCCCCCACACGCACTATGTGACCCACACCCAGGCGCGGGCCGAGCTCAGCCTTGATAAATGGACAACATATTTGGGTGGCTGGGCGGGCGGCTGGCTGGCTTGGTCGGGTTGGGTTGGTTGGTTGGGTTGGGGTGGGTGGGTGGGTTGGTTGGCTGGGTCTGGCTGGGTGGGTGGCTTTCTTGTTTGTTGGTTTTCTGGCTGGCTGGCTGGCTGGTTGGTCGGTTGGTTGGTCGGTCGGTCGGTCGAGCAAGTCGGTAGGTCGGTCGGTAGGTAGGAAGGTAGTCAGGTAGATTGGTCGGTTGATTTGTTTGGGTCGTTGAGCGTCGGGTGGACGGGTGGGCGTTTGTTTGTTTGTTTGTTTGTTTGTTTGTTTGCTTGCTTGCTTGCTTGCTTGCTTGCTTGTTTGTTTGTTTGTTTGTTTGTTTGTTTCTTCTTTATTTGTTTGCGTGCTTGTTTGTTTGATTGTTTGTTTGTTTGTCTGTTTCTTTGTTGGTTGGTTTGGTTTTGGTTTGAAACTTGGTTTGGTTTGGCAGCTGCTCCCACCCCGCCGGTGCATTCGGGTCTGCTGCAATGCAGGTGAAGACTAGGACGAAGTATGTGGACGTGCCGGTGCCATCGCCTCCCAAGATCATCGTTCACCACCACTATACGCACACCCACGACGTGCCACGGATGCAAAGAAAAGGTCATCCCAACTCATTCTATTTTCACGCAGGTTGCACGGTTTCGTCGATCTGTTTGGTGACGGCACATGAAAGTGTTGGACTGTTCCAATTCAGTTGCAGCGAAGAGACGTCGACGGGTCCAGGTGCAGACCACCTTCAACTGCCACGAGGGCTTCTCGAACTGGTACCACGGCTGGTCCCCGCTGAAGAAAAGCTACTGCTGCGCCCACGAGCCACTGGGCAAGGAAGATCTCGACAGGCACCGAAGGTCTCGGGAAGGGACATAAGGAGCGGAGCCGAATGCGACATCGGGGTATTCGGAACGTTAAACCATGTTTGCTTGCAAGATATATTTGTGTGATTTCTGGTTGTAGTAGGAGCTTCGAATTGCAGTGTAATTTGATCAACCATTGTTTCGACAGGCTCAGAGGCCAGATCAGGGTCTCGGTTGCACTGTTTCTTTCACCGAGGAACCGCGGCTGCCCCGGCGACGCCCGCCCCAGCATCGAGGTGGGGTGTCTAGCCGGTTTGTCTTGGCATCCCCAAGGTCCCTTTCTTTCTCCTTGCAAGGATCCCAACTGGAAAGCTCGGGCTGTCCGGGGGAGGCGCTTCATGTTTGTCCATTCCCATGCTTGCCTGAGGGTACTGGCAGTCCAGGGGTAGAGGATGGCACTGGCTCGCCCTTTCGATCGCGTGGCCGTGACTCCGCCGCAGCCACGTCATGTCGAGGCCACATGAAGCACATGGCAAGCGAAGCTCAGACCCCGGGGCTCCCCCTGAGAACTCAGAACTCTCGGTGCCGCTGGGCAACTAGGGCGGATTCGTTTGACAAATCGCCAGTATCGAAAGGAAAGACCCTAGAAATTGTGCCAACCAGAGGCCCTCGCCGATTTTCACCGCAACGCCCCTATCAGCGGATGACACCTTTCCACTGCCTGCGCCCAGCATTGGCCAAGGGGCCTCAGCAAGAGCCGTTACTTGGGCGGCAGCTTTTCCCTAGCAAGCAGGCAAGCAGGCATACATTCACCAAAGGGTACTGAGCTGGCCGTAACATTTTTCTACATACACCCCCAGGCGCACCTAAGCGCTTCCCGTTCGGTGAAACTGCAGGTCCGTGAACTTTCTTGGTCTTGTTGAAATCCATCAGATTCGGGGTTCAATTTTGGGGCCGCTCGGGCTCCATTGTGATGTTTTTACTTGGACTTGGATCTGGTTTCCAGTTTCCGGTCAGTGAAGAAACAGAAAAGTTTCGCATCTCCGGCTTTTGGTCTTAAGGGCGGTGTCCATGGAGCTGGGCGCCAGCGTGGCCAGCCATGAGGCCGCGGGCCTGCGGCGGCCCACCATGGCCTCCGCGGGGTCGCTGCCCATCGAGGAGCGGCTGGTGGCGCCCACGGGCGCCGTGGGCGAGATCGAGGCCGTGTCCGCGGGTGGAAGCTTCCGGGTGGAAGGTTTTCTTTCAGGCTATGGGGGGCTCTCAGAGAAGTTGATTGGTTTGGAGGAGAGGTCGGCGTGAATACAATTTCAGGTGGCTTTGCTCGGTAGGAACTGAAGGGAGCAGCGGTGGACTGCCCCGCTCCACTTGGAGAACAATCGGAGAAGCTCCTTTTTGCAAACCTTCTCTGGGCAAAAGACCAACACCTTGCTCTTTGGTGTTCAGGGGTTCAGGGTCCCGTCCCTCGCCTTGCTAGGCCTTGCGCCTGGAGGCGGACTTCCTGCAGTACCGATACCACCAGCTCGGCCAGCACCACCCCCAGCTCCGCGCTCCCCGCGCGCCTGGCGCGCACGGCGCGCACGGCGGGAGCCTGGGGGTGGCCTTCTCAGGGGGCGGGGTGCGGGCAGCGGCCTTCCACTGCGGACTGCTGTGGGCGCTCAGCAGCCAGGGCCTGCTGCGGCTCGGCATTTTGCTCGTCAACCTTTGTAAAGTGAGGCAACCCAAAGGAGGTCGTTTGAAGAATAGTGGTTTAACCATGTTGTCGGGTGTTGGGTCTCAAGCACTTCACCAAGTTCCTGGACTCTATACTATACTTTTTGGGATGATATTTTTGGTGCTCGAAAAGCTCTCTTTCCCTTTGGCAGGTCCTAGGCAAAAGGATTACAAGTCCAGAATTTCGGCTCTGAAAGCCCAGAGTCCGCAGGAAGGACGTGCAGCACCTCGCCTCCGTGTCCGGGGGCGCATACACCGCGGCCTCCTTTGCCACCCACGTGGTGAAGGCGGCGCAGACTGTGCCCCAGGCCCAGGAACTGGACACCTGGCCGCCTGGGCTCAAAATGGGGTGGGGCGATCCAAGGCCTTGGTTTGATTGGCTAAGTACGCCTGGGCCAGGCAGACCCCTGACGATAGTCAGTCCCAGTTCCCCAGTATTGGCGTGTGGGCACCTGCCCTTTCACAGCGAAAAGGAATGAGTCGTTGGGAATGGCTGGCCAGTGCTACCCATGTTTCCACTGGGCTGAAGAGTCATGGAGGTACCAAACCTAGGAGCCCTTGGGATGGATCTAGCAGGAAACCAACGTCTTTTTGGCAGGGTCCCTGGTTTCGACACACACACACACAGACAACCCTTTTGGGTCGTTGACAAGGACACCTCTCTTGGGTGCCAGAAGGACCCCCCAAGGTTTGGGTCACAACTAGATGTCAGAGGCGATACTTGAGCCACGCAACAAAGCAAACATAAGTATCCTTGTCGTTTGTGACATCTCGCTGCTTGCTGACTTGGATGAAGCAAGTATGATACAACGCAATACAGTTTTGAATGGGGCCCGACTTCAATCATGTGCAGCAAGGTACTTCTTTTGTATCTTGTCAAGGGGAACTGTTGGGGCACTTCCGGGCTGCGGCCTTGGCTTGCATGTTGTTCAGAGCGGCGGCTGGCAGTCAGTTTTTGCTTTGCTTTTAACGCTGAATCTGTGCTAGCTGTGAGCTGTGCAGAAACCACAGAAATGTGCGATCCCATGATCTGAGAGGTACACATTAGGCTTGGGGTTGCGATGGAGGGCCGGTGAGACGTTTCCAACGTCATCTACCTGGTTGTCTGATGGGATTCCAACCGGCTGTGTCCGAGGTACAAGGATGTGGCGGCCAGGACGATTCTGCGAATGCAGCGGAACATGAACTATTTGGTCCGCCTTGGCGAAGGTGCCAGCGATCAAGACCCCGAGGCAGTCGGGCGAGGCTGTTGCCCGCGCTTTCTGGATATCCCTTTGTTCATTCTTACCATCGCAGCCAGGCTTGCAGATTCAGGCCGTGCGTTTTGCATTGTGTGCTGCGTTTGCTTAGCGGACAAAAATCCCCATGAACATGTTTGTCCACGAAAGGGTCCATTTCCATTCCGAAAGTTTCCGGCACAAATGGTGCACATGGAAGACTTGGATGGTTGAGGCCAGCTCGATCATCCTTTCGCCTACTCTGATCCTGGTGAACACTGTGTGGCCTTTGGTGCTGTGCATTGAGCACGAGCTGGCCGCCACGCTGCGCTCGGCGTGGTGCGACCCACATCACACGGCCCCATGGTGGACTTTTCGGAATGGAGTTTTCGGAGTGGCACCCAACAAGTTAGGTGGGGATTCATGCCCAACCGCTTTTGAGGCTGTTTGTGTGGTTGCTTATTGTAATGTGCCCAATGATCTAGAGAAGTCCGCTCTTGTGAATTCTGACGTGGCATTCGGTATGATTTTGATTAAGACTTATTCGCGCTTCGGTCTCCCCCCTCAAAGTCCGGTCACTAGTGGTCCCTGCGCCCAAAACCCATCGACTCCCCCTACAAACACACCAAGGGTTTGCATTTCGAGGCCTTCAACGGCGCGCTGTTTTTCTGGACGAAGCGTCGGGTAATCTTCGGGTGCGGCGTGCTGGGCGCCGGGGTGGTGCTGGCGCTGCTGGCGCGGCTGGGCTGCTGCCGGCCCAGGGAGGGGCACTACCGGAAGCACCTCTTCAGGAGGCGCGTGTGGGCTTTGGTGCCTTTTGCTTAGATGTAACGACTTTAGCTTTTTGCCAACCAATGGGTTTTCCATTGACCACCAAAAGTGAAACTGTTAGCAGGGGAGCAGAAAGCAACCGAGTGGGTATGCGGTTGGGTATGTGAGTGGGTATGTGACGGTATGCCGTCAAAAATAGGTGACAGCGGTTGTTTTTTGGGGGGTGCAAATGAAATGGGTGTGTGCCTGACTGTGTGTCCAACCACTCGCGGAAGCACAGATTCTGGACGCCTTTCTTGAGGCGCACTATGCCCGCGCGCGCCAAAAAGTGGACAATGACCCCCGCTTTTTGAAAGCCATCCCTTCCCGGCTTAGGTCTTTGCAGCAGATCTTTGTGCGGGGCGCCATTTGCTACTCCGTGTACTTGGTGGTGCCCTGGGTTCTGCTGCAAATGCAGAACATCACCTGGGGCACAGGCTGTCAGCTGGTCGAGGGTGGATCCTGGAAGCATGATGGTTTCCTGTAATTGGGGCTTTTGTTGTGGCACTTTCCTTGAATGTCGAAGCAGGGTGAAATAAGATCAAAGCCCCCCACATGGAAATCAGTTGAGCTCCTGACTCAGTCGGTACTGCTTTGTCTTGCTTGTTCTTTTCCCCTTCTGATTGCTGGCGGGTGAATTCCCCGGTCCGCTGGCAAGAGCCAGCAAGTTTTGCCTGTGTCCCTTGCACAGGCGTGGTGATCCCAGATGTGACCCACGGGACGGGAAGGGAGCTGACGCTCTACCACTGCTGGAGCTACATCAATCGGACCTTGGTGGACCCCCCCTGCGTGGACTACGACAAGGGTGGGGGCTCGACCTGGTACCAGGACTGGGTTGGCCGAACGCATACCGGGATATTTTACAACATGTTGTTTGAGAGTCACAAAGGGCCATTCTCACACATTCCCCCAAAAGAACATTCATTCAAAAAGAACAAGCGCGTTTCAACAATTGGGTTGTCTCTCTCGCTCCAGCTCTCGTTTTTTTTTTCCTCTTTCCCTCTCTCTCTCTCTCTCTGCCTCTTGTGTGTGTGTGTGTGTTTTCTTGCATTTGCGCTTGTGTCCCAAGGCATGGGCACTAAAAGAACCCCTTGGGAAGAGGTGTTCCGCATTCCCACGGCTCCCTATATTTTCTGCACAACAGGGTCTGTTTGATTAAGCATGTTCAGGCATCCATTGCTCAAACATCATTTGAGTCCCTTCAAGTGATCCATGTCCTGTTTGAAGCCAAGAACGTCCGCTCAACCAGGGTCGACATTTGAGCCTTGGGGGCTTACATGCCCCTGTATGTACTTAGAATGTGAGGGATATTATGTACTACTTCCTTGTCAGGTTGATTGCCATGGGCCATTTTCTCTTTTTGTTTCCTTCAGAATTGTTGCACAGGTTTTTTGGGACATGGCCGCGAACCTGTTTTCTTGAACAGGCCCACGGCCGGTTTGGACCACGTTGGACTTAGGATGGCCACAACTACCTCTACCTGAACAACACCTGGGTGTCCGCGCAGCACCTGGCGCCGCCGAGTGGGGCAGATCCCTCGGGCGCCACGGGGTACACCACCCCCATGCGCCGCGGACTAGGAGTTGATTTCTTGGAACAAAGTCAGGCACGGAGCCTGCAATGAGGGGTGCGCCCATGGAATCCAAGGGGTCGGCAAAGTGTCGTTCAAGGAATCTGCCGCTTTCGGTAGGAGGGTTCCTGTTGGCTCAGGTAGCTTCGAAGGTCAATCAAACATGTTTGTGAGCTGGCTCGCATCCTTGTCCGTGCAATGATCATAGCAACCTCATCCAGGTAATCGGAGGGTTCTTAGGGAGTGCCTCACTTCAGGCTGTTGTTTAGCCCCAATCAGCGTAACTACGGTGAACTTGGGAAAACAATGTAGATATCCTGTACTGGGTTTTGTGTGCTTTTGAGGGTGCCTCTTTCCAGGTTGGTGTTTTGTCAAGGATTCACTGCCCATTTTTGGGGTAGGTTGACACGTACCCATCTTGATTGAGGTTCCTGCTCATCAACGTCATCGTGCTGGCTGCCGGCCTGGTGGGCCTGCTCTTTGGGCTCTCGCTGCTGAGGTGGTACCTCACGGTGGCGGGCCCCATTTTCTCCGCCTTCCTAGTTGCGCAGGCGGGACCCCTTGGGACCCCTTGCCGGGGCCAACGGCTCATTGTATGTGGATGTCTTTCTAATGGCGTTGAAAGGGACTCGTCCTTCGTGCCAAGCGTCAATCACAGCAATTGTCTCAAGCGGGCCTCGATACCACCGGATTCCGAAGTCCATGATGATAGACAACAAAACCATCAGGGGTTGTTCCCAGTTGGTTTTGGAAGTCGGATTTACCACGGGCCACCTATCCGAGTGGGCCGAGGTGGCCCAGTGGCAGATCTTCGGGCCGCTGACGGCGCAGCCGCTGGTGGCCCCAGGGGTGCTGACCTTCTCAGAGACCTGGCGGATATTTTTTTTGGTCTCCTCAACAGCTTGGTTTGGGGTTTGCAAATTTGAGCCACTGGTTCTTGAGAGGAAATGGACAATCCCCCCTCCCCCCGCCGTTTTCACCTCCAAACCACCAATCCAAGCCACCAGGAAGGGAGAAAAGGTGAGCGTTTCGGGGGCTGAGGTTCTTTACAGGGCAGCCAAAGGAGCACAATATCAGTTTGGGGGGTCTCATTTATTTGATTTGGAGTTCTTGTTTGGATTTTCCCTCTGGCATGGCTGGCAACCGGACAAACATGTTCTTTTTCCATGGCAAAAGAGGGCAATGGAAAGGAGAGCAACAGCTCCTGGGCCTTTCACCTTTGCATCCTGGGGGCGGTGCTGACGCTGCCGGTCTACGACCTGCTCATCAAGCTCATGCACCTTGCTCTGAGAAATGTGTTTTTGTGGGGGGGGCGAGCGCGGTTGCTTTGCGGGCAGATGGCAGGGTACAGTTGGCTGGTGTTCTCCCATGGTGGAAGTTCCCTTGGAGTCATTGAATGACTACGCTGCTCAATTGCCTCCTTCTGGCTGAGACAAAAACTCTCCTCTTGTTTGGGCTATCAGAGGGCCGATGAAAGTTGATAGCCCGCAATTGGTCACTTGGCATCCTCGGTTGACAGGGGTGAACTTAGGATAGGGCTTGATGGATTTCGTACACAGTGGGTTATGTTGTGATGGATTCAACATCCATGTACTTTCAATATTATGTATGTGCTCTATGTGAAGCGCATCCTTATCCATATCATATACTGTACCCGAGCACATAAATGCAGGCACACATGTATCTAGGTTTATGTCTCTGCAAAATAATTGGAGAGCTGTACATCCAATTGGACCAGGGTGGCTGGTGGGCTGATCAGCGTTCAGGCACTCCTACTACCGGAGGTCCCTGCAGCTAGCCTACTTTTGTGAGGGCCAGGACAGGGTTGCAACATGCTTATATATCTTATAGCCGCTGTTTCAACGTGTGCAAACCACGGATTGAGCATGTCTCAACCGCTGTTGCAACATTAACCACCCTTCAGATCGCGATTTGTCAAGCCATAGCCCATTTTGAATGCCTTAGAGACAATGACAAACACACACACACACCATCAGGTTTTGCTTCCATTCTGGAGAAAGATGATCGAGTCAGAAGAACGCAGCCCTGCAGGACATTGACTTCTCGGCGACGGTGGAGTGCACTTACTGCCCACACCTGCTGCTGGGGGCGTGCGTGAACGACTACAGGATGGGTTGGAATGGCGAAGAAGCTGAAAAGAGCCTGGCTTGGCTCAGATCAAGTCTCCCTTGGATTGTCCCAGCTGCTCACTTGGAATGTGCGCCTCGCATGGCACGAACCCAACTGTCCAAAGCCTAGCCTTTGGGTTCCCTGGCCCAAGCTTCCGTCCTTAGGAGGCCCGAGGAGGAGAAGCTTCTCTGCGACTTCACCATCAGCCCTCTCTTCATGGGCTGCCCCCGCACGGGGTTCTTCTGCACAGATAGCCACATGCGCCTGGGCTACGCCATCTCGGTGTCCGCCGCGGCGCCGGACACCTTCATGCCTCCTGGCTTGGGAAATTGGATTTCACCGGTTTCAGGTGGGTGTGGGTCAAAAATTGGTACCCACAAAGGAACCCTGGTAAGTGGAAACATGGATCAAAACCTGCAGTCCCCTGGTGCCCCATACCCAGGTGGGCTCTAACCATTTGCCGCATTCTAAGATTTCTAATTTTTCCCAAAGGGCACCTAGGGAGAGTGAGTGGATGATTGGCAGGCTGATTATGTGAGCTCTTCTGGAAATCCGACGTGGATTTGTAGAAACACAGCTGTTTCGCTGCAAGCCCTTGGCGTGCAAGGAGGGAGACGGGGAGAAACAGTTTTTCAAGAACCCCGGGGTTGGGTGTATTCTTTTTGTCCTATTCAAAGCTTAGCCATCAAGTTTCCAGGAGGATCAGAAAGACTGATCCGAGCGAGGCTCACCAAGTTCGACGTGCTGCCCATCCGCTTCCTCCTCTCCGTGCTGTCTCTGCGCCTGGGGGACTTTGTGCGGCTGGAGCCGGACGGCAAGGTGGCCATGCAGGTCGGAGATACCGGCTGACGCGGCTGACGGGGTTGGGGGCGGGGATCGAGCGGGGGTTCAGGAGACCGGGGTGCTGGAGTCGGAGGTTGGGTGTGGGTGCGGGTCAAGGGGCAGCCGTGCTGCGGAGAGGTCTCATTGATCGGAGACTTGGTGGGAAGTTGCTGAGTTCCTTGAGCAACGGACTGTTGGCACAGCACATGATAGCATGACATGACAATGATTGGGGCAGTATCAGATGCTATTTGGTGCAAGTGTTATCACGCAGTAAAGCCAAGCCCAGAACAAGGGTCCATCTCCAGCTTACTTTGGGAACACCCTCCTTGGACCATTGCTGGCACGAGTTTTCAGTGGTCTCTTCTTCCCCAGCTGGACTCGGTGGCCAAGTGGCCTTTCGACTGAGGGGACACCAAAGGTACCCGACAATTAGAGGCCCGCCCCTTTTCTTTCGGCTTTGGATGGTGCCATTTTCAGATATGGAAAAGGCAGCCCTGAGAGTTCTGTTCCTTGTTTCGGCTTTGGGGTGTGTTTTGTAGATACCCATTCCATGAAGCCGCCAGGTGGGCAGCGCGGTGCGGCGCTTCGAACAGGTGGCCGTGAACACAGGCCGGGTGTGGTCCGGTCTACGTGGACACAGGGTGACACAGTTAGGGGAGGCTCTTTGGATTCTTGGCGTGGTCTTGAGCAGACTCCTTTCACACCAGGTTTTGATGTTTTTCACTTCAAACGAATTCACCAGTTTTTGCGCAATGTGTGATCAAACGGTGGAATCCACCAGCTCGACGAACCTCTTGTTGGTCCTTTTTTTTTTTGCTTTGCGGTGACCGGAGTTTGGTTGTTGCAGCAGTTTGCAACCAACCCAGTTCAAACCAATGTTTAGTGGGGATATTGAAAGTATGAAGAGCCATTACAACGGGGCGCGCTCAAATTGGCGAGCCTCCTCCCCTTTGCCCAATTTCTGCCAAAACGGGGTTTCCTTTTCTTCCCCCTTTAGAGAACCACCACCCCCGCCCCGTCCTTCCCGCTCGGCTGACTAAGTTCGACGCCAGGGGCGCTGGAGGACCACGCGGTGCAGCACGGGCAGACGGCCCAGCACTTAGCGCAGCTGGTGTTGGACCGCGCGGTGGTGGCGCTGCCCTTCATCGGCTGCCACCTGCTGCTGGTCCTCGGCTGCTTGGCTCGGTTCGCCGCGAAACGCGGCGCCAGCCTTGGGGGTTTGCCGCGAAACGCGGGTGCCAAGCCTGCGATTTTTTTTTAAAGTTTTTGTCTGGGAGTTGAAGCTTTTCGGGGTTTTGTTTGAGGCAATCTGTGGTTCCACCAATTTTGACGCCTGCCCACGTGCCACGTGGACCTCTTTAAGGGGGAAGACTTGCGACACCGGATGGTAGTTTTTTGGGGGTGCCCAAGCCACCAATGCAGGAAGATCCCAACATACGAGACCAACCATCTGCAAAAGGATTCCCTTTCGACACAAAAAGACAGTGGATTTGAGCCACCTTCGCAGAGGGGACATTTGTGTAGCCTGAAAAGTGGCAGTCGCGATATTCCTCCCAATGGATATTTGTTGTTGGTCTTCGCATGGACCATCCAACAATAAGATCATTTTTCGCCAAGTACCCGTATTCCTCACCTGGGAAGCTCACCGAAATGGTGGGAGTTGTTGGCACTTCTCAAGGTAAGCACTTGGGCGGCCTGGGCGCCTGCGCAGCCTATGATGTCATCCTCCAGGCGGGCCGTTCGTTTTGGCAGGTGATTCGGAGAGATGTGAGTAAGTGGAACGGAAATGCAGGCAACGACGTAGCCGGGAGAAAACTTTGAGCTGCAGGTCTCAGGGGCCAAAGGGCCCAAGGGCCAAAGGGCCCAAGGGCCAAAGACTCTGTTTGCGCGCTACGCAGTAGGGCAAGTCAACACTGGATGCCCAAAGGCTTTGACGGGATTGGCTTCATGCGGATGCAAGCAGGCGTCCAGCGAGAGAACAGACGGACGAGCGACACGCAAAGCGAGACAGCGACTGGCCGTATGTTCCGGCAATAGTCTGCGGCGCCTCTCACGCGGCACGCTTGTTAGCCCACGATCAGCTCTTCAAGCCAATGGACAAAACAAAAACGGCGCGCACGAGACGTGCTGCCCACTCAAGCGCACCCAAGCAAATTAAGTGTAGTTTAGTTGAATCAGATGCTCATTTTGGCATACCCACGCTTTTTGCCGGGCTGTCGCACCGTTCGCTCGAGGTGGGCCTGGCGGGGTTTGTGGTGATGCTGCTAATGAGCTTCTTCGCCTTTGCGTCGAACTTGCGGTGGCTCATGCGCAGCCCTCTGATCCTCCAGTTCCAGATGATGTTCATGCACCGTCACCAGGATCGCAACCAATCGAATTCGGATGGGCATGAGCGATTGATGCATGGGCAGGAAACCCTGGGACGTGGGCTTTGGGAGTTCGTATGTGTGGTCAAAAGATTTGCTGGTTGAGGTTGGTTCTGAATCCTGCGTTAGTTCCCACATCGTTCTTGCCTAAAAGCGAAGCTGGCTGCACTTGCAGACGACTTGCACTCGACAGTCAGCAATCCTTGCCAGGCAGTGCGGCCCCCTCCATATGTGTACCTCTCCGACGGGGGGCTGATTGAGTGCCTGGGGGTGCTGCTGCTGCTGCGCCGACGCATGCCGCTGATCATTTGCTCTGACGCCTGTGAGGACAAGGATGTGACTCTCCGGGCGCTTCTGGATACCATACACTTGGCTCGAGAGGCGGGAAAGCTCAAAGCGGGAGCAGCCTGAAAGTGTACTTTCCGTTCGACTCAAGGGTGCTGTGGGACACGGGAGGGAGGGGGTCCACTCAAGCTCCCCCTTTCCGTTGCTCAACTGGAGGAGAGGCTGTGCTCCTTCTACGACGTGACCGACCCCCGGCGGGACGTGCAGCTGGCCATGTCTGAGGTGCGGGACAGCCAGCGGCCCTACCTGCGGCTGGGCATCCGCTACGAGGCGACGGCCGGCCACGCGGCTTGCGACGGAGAGCTGCTGTACATCCGCATGCGCCTAGCGCCCGGGGATGCGGCGGCAGAGCGGCCCTTGTTGACCAAGGAGGTGGGATAATGTACAAATAGCAAGGCTTCGCAGTGGCCGTTCTTGTGGCGGAGTTGATGCGAGGATCAAACTGCCTTTGGCTTTTGGCACCATTCCAACTCAGGAGCTGATGCAGGAGCCGCCGCGCCCGGCCGGCAGCACCTTCGACAGGGCGGCCTCGACGGCGCCAAACGCCACGCCGAGCGCTGCGAGCGCTGCGCGCGCCGCGAGCGCGCCGCGGAGGCAGATGGACGGTCTCTGCTGCGAGGGCCGGCTGCGGCGCTGGTTCAGCCGCTGCCCCGGCCGGCGCTTCCCGGACTTCGGCACCGGCAACCAGCACCCTGGCCCACAAGGGCTGGAGTCCTGGTGTTTTCGACGCTTTTACCACGAGGTATAGTCAAGTGAACACTGCCTCGCACAGTGAAACAATGAACACCAAGTCAAGTCTCCTTTGACAGGAGAAGGATCCGTGAGACGTTCATGTCCCCGCGGGTTGTAGGTGTGGCCGACAAGAAGCATGGCTTACCCCTGAGCTGTGGCTTCCCCCTCAGTACTGGTGCTGCTTCATTTAGAGTTTCAAGCAGAGGGTAAATGAGAAACAGGCAACCACTCCAAACCAAAGGGATGAAATTGGAAGGCTTGAGTCGAGGTTCCTCCAGCCCCGGCACTTCGCCAACCTCTGCGCCCTGGGCGCGGAGATGTCGCTGCCGGCGGTGCAGTACGCTGCCGCGCGGCTCGGAGAGGAGCGCGGCGCCGCACCCGGCGCCGCTTTGTGACGCCCGGCGGATTTGATCCAAAGAAACGCATCCCGAGCTAGGAGGTCGAAGCGGAAACTGGAGAGGAGACGGCGCCACTATGTTATGTGTTTCACGGGCACGGTTGATTCCCGAAGCGTTTTCAAGTTGGCCACGGCCCTTCTGGCAATTCCTATTCTGTTGGTATACTTACAAGATGCAGGGAATCAACCACACCGGGAGCAGTCTGTAGATGGCCGGGGGATGGATTTTTTAGACAGGTTGCTTTCTGGGTTTGGCATGAGCGATCGAATGTGCGTTCAACGCGGTTTGGGCACCTTCCGTCCCAAACCCGGGATCAATGGCCAGAGAGTCCATCCCCCAGAGATCGAGCGCCCACTTGCTCCGCGAGCAGCAAATGCCGACCAGGGCTCAGGGAACGCTAGAGGGGAAGAGCCGACTTTTGAAATGGAGTTTGGAATCCAAAGCAAATACCCATTCGTAAAGGCGCGTCCTCTTTCTTAGTCCCCAAAGCTTGACATGCATGAAAAGGAATCTTCTTTGGGTGGCCTCAATGTCTGGTTCCATCCAATTCAATCAAGAATCCCTGGAGCTAAAGATCCCAGGCGGAAAATCTTCCGGGGAGCAAACTGGGCAGTGATCATAAAGGGGGGTGGTTTCCCTTCACACTTCAATTCCGAGGGTTGGTTATGAGCACGCCGATTCAGTCGATTTCAGTGTTTCGCTTTGAGGGTCCGTTTTTGTGGGGACACGGACCCGCGGGTGCCCCTGGCGCACGGGCGCACGCCAGATCCACGGCGGCGGCGGCAGCTTCCACATCCACGGGGAAGGCCATGCGCAGGGCAGAATCTACGACTGCAACGCGGGCTTCTCAAACTGGCTGCAAGGCGCCGGCCAGTCACGCGGGAACAGCACACAATATGAATCAAACCACGTACCAAGGTTTAGATGGATGCCGAATTGGCTGTAGCTTCTGGCTGCCGGAGGACAAACTAGAAGCCTTGAGAGGTGTTTGCACTTTTCTCCGTTGGGCGCAAAAGAGACGAGGCTGGGCGAAGCCATGGGACACCCAGATTGATGGTCTTTGGATTTACGTTTGGGTGGTTTTATTTGCCCCGTGTTCATTGTTTTGGGAAGCTGGGGGGCTAAGCTGCTTCCCGTTGATCAAAGCGGGGCGCTGGCCGCCTTGGCAGGCATGATGCAAGATGTTCCTTTGCGTCGTTTGTCTCCAAGCTTTAATCAGGGGCACATCCCTCGTTCGAGTCTGCTGACGCAGGCTGGTCCGACTCCAAGAAGTCTTGGTGCTGCGACCACCAGTCCCGGGGTTGCGTGGATTTCAAGTGCTTCGAGGGGGAGGTCGCGAGCTGGGCCCAGGACCGGTGGGGAGAGGGACCAGAGCAAAGGGCAGAGGAAGGAAAGAGGTAAAATCTGTTTGTGCGTCTCACAAGGGCTTGAGCAGAAGGAGCAAGCCAGGGGCTCACTTGGCTTGTTATGCCGTTGGGCTTGGAGAGGGCTTCTACTGCGGAGTTCACCACGTAACCCCTCCTGGTTAAAAGTCAAGTTGGGCCCTTTCGGACGGGTTCTCTGCATGACACCCTTTGAGGAGGGTTGCTGCTGAAGGGTTCACGTTAAACCTCCTTTCAAAGTTGACGATTGCATTGGACACCTGTGAAGAGAGTTTCTATTGGCACACTGCAAGCGCTCATGCAGGAGCAGCTAGCAATCTATTGCTTGTAAATTCACTCCTTCAAACTGCGGGGCGCCTGAATTCCCACCGGTCATGACGGCAGATGCCGGGCTAGGACAAGTCATCATGGTGCTGTGCCAACTTCCAGAAAGGCGGGGCGGGTGCGTTCCGCTTGAGATCTTGCCAACCTCCCCAGCCTCCCTAGTTCCCGTAGACCTGTGGACCGGGCTTCAAAATCGCGGGGCTTGCCGCGGATTTGTGCTTCAATCGGGCGCACTGGGCTGCTCGCTCCAGGTTGCCCGCTCACGACCTTGTCGCCGCTGGGTTGCGATGCCGCGTGCACCATCCACGGGGACGCTGGGCATCAGTTTGGCAATCGCTGGGTCGGGCTTGTGTTTCTTTCTCGTTTTGGGCATAATGTGTCAAAACTAGGGAGCCTTTTCGGGGATCGGAATGAACATCAACCAACTGTTTCGAAGGTTTCCCAGTTTAGGCACGTACCCATTGCTAGTTTTGGTTCCAGCTTAGTCTTGGGCCCAGAAAGTTCGGTCTTTTGGTTGAGAATGACCACAGGATCCTTTCTGTTTGTGAAAAGGGGCTCTCCCAAACCAAGTTTCTGCAGTTTTTCCGGGGCGCAATCCTCCCGATGGAACGTTGACTTGAATTGTCTGAAAGGAGTCGGCCAAGTGCATTGACCGCATCCAGTGGGTGACGCACAACGTCTTCTCGGGCAAGTCTAACGCCTGCGCGCTCGCCTACAGCAAGGCGTGGGCGCCGGCCGGGGGCCCACCCATTTTGAGACTAGGAACCCGTCATGTTTAAGCCAAGAGTAGGGGGGTATCCGCAACCGGGGTGTTTCGCGTGGGTTGCCCTTTATGCCACCCGAAGCGGAACCAAAGAAAAGAGCAACGGCGCCAGGTGCAGGTGGACTGCGACATCTGCCGCGCCTGCTCCATCCAGGCGGCGGGCTGCGAGATGGGCCACGTGGCCACCTCCAAGGCCTTCGACTGCGAGGCGGCCTTGAACAACTTCTTCAGGCGGGGGGCCGGGGGCGGGGGGGGGGGGGGGATTTGGGGGACGGGGGGAGGGGGTGGGATGGGGGGGAGGCGGGGGCTTGGGGAATCCCCTAAGTGATACAGTTTCCATGGGAATGACCCGTGGTGAAAGGGTGACTTTCCACCATGGGGAGGGTCCAAAGAAGGCCCCAACATCGGGTGGCTGTGAGAGTGGGGTTGGAGAGAGGGAGGCGAAGCCTCGGTTTCCTCGCTGTTGCATTCTGCGCTTGGCTTGTAATCTGGGAGAGGCTTACGAACCGTCCCTTCCGAGGGGTCCACTGGGAAGGGTTGCAACTCTGCGCCTCGCGCCAGGGCATGGTCGCCACCGAAGAAGCGCCTTGGGCGCAACCAACACCGCCAAACGGGGCCGGGCCGAAATCGCATCCAGGGAGTCTTCTCCCATGCTGGGTGGGGTGGTATCTTTTTTGGGACGACTGTTATGGTATTTCCAGGAACCTACAGCAATATCAGAAAGCAAACATTTGGAAGGCAGTGTAAAGTTGGTGTGAGAAAATGCGCGCTGAAGAGATACTCGCCTTGGAGGCCCAAGTTTGCGGATCGTCGCTGGTCGCAGCGCTTGCGTTTGCCTTGCGGTCTCAAGTGTTCAGGTGGCTGACGTTTTCGTCCCCTGTTTTGGGTTTATAGGTTTATACTTGGTCATGAAACCACAAGTCTAACCTCTCATGCCCGAGAAGCCAACGATTCGCGTTGAACTATGGGACTTGCGCGATCGACCGCTGGCCGATCGGCCGCTGGGTGGGAAGTCAAATCTATGGACACGGCTTGTGAAAGAAAGCAACATCTGCTTCACGCAATCAGCGTGGCTGAGAAAATGAAAGGGCGCCCCAGGAGAGGATGTTGAGCTGCGTTTGCCATGGCCGTCAGAAGGATCATTTTGCATCAGTTGTCTGAAGCAACTTTACACTTGGATTCGAGCTATTTCGTTCATATGGACCAAGCAAAGCATGCAACAAGCAACTCATCGGTGGTTCAAAGAAGCTGAGATTTTTGTTCTACGCCTCCCCTCCCTTTTTCCCTTTTTTCTTTGTTTGGGGGGGGGAGGGGGCGTCGATTTCTTGGGGTGGTGTTCTTTTTTGTTTTTGACTCGAGGCAGTGGTGCTGCACCATGGAGGGCAAGGGCTGCGAGGGCACCTCCCCCCCGGCGGTGGACCCGGGCTTCGGCATGAAGTGGTCCCACGTGAAGGCGGGAGGTGGCCAGTTCCGTGGTGCGGTTCGGTTCGGAGGTGATTTGGCTGTGGGTGAAAACCAGTGGTACCATTTTGGGGTAGGTGCACCACCCATTTTAGTTGATTTTAGTGGGGATTGGGATGTTCACTGGGGGTACGAGCTTTTGACCCATGCCATTTGGTTGCTGCGCCGCTGGAGCCGGTGATGATGCGATATCTTTTTTTTTTTGTTGTTTTTGTTTGGGGAATATGGCAAACAAGAAAGGGGGCACAGGAAGGGGGAAGGGTGCGCGCCCAAAAGAGGTACACACCCAAAGTTTGATTTCGGCACGCGCGGATGCATCGCAGATTCCCGAACCCCTCCAGGAGGTTCTGGTTTTCCTTCAAAGGCATCCTAAGAAGGTGCTTCCCATTGTGAGACATATCCTCGTGGGCGATACATTTGGAATGGACCCAAGGCGGGGTCCTCAATTTGTTCCCGGAGAGTGTTGCAGCTCCTTGACGTGGCAGCATGGGATTGAAGACGGTCAGCCAAAGTTCGCGACGTTTGGCAAACTGAGTTGGCCAATGGCCCAGCTTGCGCCTCCCAACGTGTCTGCCTGGCATGACTTGTCCCCACTGGTTTGATCCGCCAGCCCGGGGCCCACGGGCCCACGGGGCAACCCGTGTCACGTCGCACAGGTGAACGGCTACTGGACCTGGATGGCGGTGTCGGTGCACGGCGGTGCCACCCCCTCCCAGCTGCCCTACGACTGTCACGCCGGCCTCGCCAACTGGCAGTTGGGCTGGTCCGGTGAGTGCCCAGACGGAAATTTTCAGCCTCCGGAAATGGCTGAAATCGGGGCAGGATATGGGGAGAAGGCTTTGAACATCAGATGATGGCGTGTTGATTGTAAACAGAAACAAGTGGAGCCACCTCGTTTCTTCCCTTTGGCATCCGGAAATGTTAACTTATATGTATGGAACTAAGGATGATATGCATACAATTGACTTAAATCAAACTTACGGATTGTTGCATGAGAGCTTGGATTTTTATGTAACACTATTAACAGTGGAGGAACCGTATTATGTGTTGGTACTAAGTTTGAAACAAAATATCATATTTCTGAATACTCTAACTATTGTGGTCAATTGACTTTCAATGTACAATCATGACAATCAGATATGTTCTGATGTGGTCAGAATTCCTTGACAAGCTGGGAGTGTTTCGTGTAGCATGTTGCAGAACACATGGCTGTGTGAGACATTGCCCATTTGCACAGTTCCTTCAGTGCTTCATTCTCCTCTGAAAGTTGAATGCAGGCCGGGTGACCTCCCCAACACGCATGCTACTGCATCCCTTACTTCATTGATTGTTGAGCAGGCTTGTCTTGAAGCCGCATTGTCCTCAAACCGTAATGACACTCCTTTGATTTGCTACACCTTGCCGCAGAAGAAACATGCCGCAGAAGAAACATCAATCCGAGTCCAAAACGAGAGCTCACTCAATGTGCATAAAATGTATATTCATCTATATATATATACACATGTACATATGTATATACATATATGAATGTGTGTATATGTACACTTATATACGCACGCTCAAAATGGATGTTGCAGTCAACATCGGCCAAGCAGCTGACTGAACTGTAGTTTAGCCAGCTGCTCACATGAGCTGCTGGCCAGACCAATGGTTATTGACACACGATGGACATCCACCCATTGAGAGGCAGAAGAGGTAGCAAGTGACACAAGTAAAGGGACAGTTTGTCTAGAAGCGCTGAAACCCGCCAGGATCCTCAGCAAGCACACAGAGTCCTCCAGCTTTCTTTGTTCTTCTATTTGCCTCTGGTTGCCTGCCCCCTGGCTCCCCGGGTTTTCCCACAGGAAGAAGGGCTGGTGCTGCAAGAATCAGCACATGGGCTGCGGTGGCGGCGGTGCCGCCGCTGGCGCCGGTGGTGCTGGTGGTGCCGGTGGTGCCGGCGGCGGCGGCTGGTCCCACAGCCACAGCTGGAGCTCCAGCTGGAGCTCGAGCAGCAGCCCGGTGGGCCACCCCCCGGCGGCGGCCGCTGCGGGCATGATGCACCTTGGTCATTGATTTTAGCTGGTTTATCTGATACTTCCTGAAGATGAGCCAAAAAAAGGTTCCCCGTTGCTGTTATCAGATCCGTTTGTGACTTTGACCAATATGTTTCCCGGCGCAGCAACATGTCCAATTATCGGGGTCAAAGTAGGGCAAGCCCCTTGCGGATGTTTAGAGGTTGGGTGTGTGTGGGGGTGGCACGTGGAAGGTTGTCAAGCGCATGGTCTCGCTTTTGGGATTGCTCCGTGGAGCCCTTTGTTCGCGAAAGTCTGACGTAGATGCTGTCAACATATTTATGCAAAAGAGCAGTTTGTTCAAAGTGAGTGAGGGACACAGCCTTTGCAAGGGAGCCCCCACACTGTCCCGGAAGATCCAATCCTCATGTCTTCATTGAGCGGAGCCCTTCCTTTTCGGAGAACCCGTGCGCCAGGTGGCATTGGGCCAACCAGAACGGCCACTGGCACTGGGCGCAAGTCCACATGTCCGGCAACGCCCCCTTCGACTGCCATGCAGGCGACGCAGAGGGAAGGCATGGGGCTCCTGGCAGGAGGGTGGAGTCATGTTTGAGGTGGATCGCCGATACCAGAAATCGGGCAAGTTCTGCCATTTTGCTTGCTGGTTCGGGCGTTGTTCGAGAACTGGACACTTTTCGCTGTTGGAGGGAAACCGGTCAAGAGCAGAGAGAGGGAGAGAGAGAGAGAGAGATAGAGAGAGAGAGAGAGAGAAAAACATGAAGCAGATATGCGTGTGTCTTTGTGTGGGACTTGTAGTTAAAAGCCCCGGGCCAAGGCGGGGAACATGGTCGACGGGACCGCTTGTTGTCAATGGGAAGGATCAATCCTGAGTAAATTGAACCACCGTCCTTTACATGCCATGTTCGAAAAGTCGAACGCGTTTCCGAGGCCTGTCCAACTGGCAGGCAGGCTGGTCCGGACCGAAGAAGACCTGGTGCTGCGACCACTTGGGGCTCGGCTGCCAGTGAGCGACCAGAGCTGTATGCTTCTGTCTCGGGCCGGGAGCAAGAGGGCGGGGAGGGAGGCATAAGTCCGAGATGTGGGGCGCCAAAGTTTCCGGCACCGTGCACCTCCAGAAGTCTCAAGTCACAAGAAAACGACAGACTGGACCTTGTCACTCCACATGCCCCAAGCAAACGCTTGGGGTTCCTTGGCGTCCATCCATTTCCAGCTCTCACGACACCACCTGGCCCTTGCTTAGATTTTTATTTGCCTTTGGGCTGTACTGATGTACTGTTTTCCTTGAGTTGGCGGCGGTGTCAAACATCGCTGGTTCTGAGATCTAGTGCTGTCTAGAGGATGACCCACAGAGCTTACACGCCATCAGGCCACCAAGGAGCCAGGAACTTGTACTTTGCTTGTCCACTTTGTCCACTTTTGTCAAGGGTCGTCTCCGCGGATTTTCGTGGACAGGCTTTCTTCGGGGCCGTGTTCAAAGACACTCGGCACCTGCCAAGCGCACTGGCGTTGCACATTCGCAAGCAGAGCCAGTCAGACAAAAAAGACCGAGGGAAACTGACCTGCGGGGCTCAAGACGAGTAGCAGAGGGTGGCAAGGATGAACTGCCCTCGACGCTCAGGAGTTTTAGTCTTTCAACTCTAAGTGCTTTTACTGTACTTGAGCCAAATTTATGTCGCATGTGTCGCTTGGTTGTTGGTGGCTTTGGACTACCACCAGATGTGTTTGTTCTGAGTTCTTGTTTCTCCACCTCGGCACCGGCTTCGTTTCAGGAGATCGTCACGTAGCCAGCCTCCCAGGCCAAGACACCATGGTGAGTACCTACGGCATCGGCAAAACATATTTTCAGATCCATTAGAGCGATCTCAGCGTCGATCTCTGCCAATCTGCGCCAATTCTCGCTATGCCGCGGCGCATACCAGGTGTCGCTGGTTTCGCGTTTGGGGGTGGAGGGGGTGCTGAGAGTTCATCAACACTCTTTTTGCAACGGAAGCCCCGTAAGATGACAAGCAAGCCAGCCATTCAGCAGCCGCTGGACGGTTGCCTTGGAATTCCCACGCCTGTGACATGTCTAACTTGTTGGGACATCAGGTGAGGCCAAGCATCACTCATCTGGCTGTTCCACGGCTGCGAAGGTTGAAGACGGGCCCAGCCCGCTTTTTGATTAGGATTGTATCAGGAGTAGCAAGCCTGGCTGGCTCATTTCGAAAGGACGGGGGCCTTTGGTGGTCCCACCAAACGCCAGGCACGCAGAGACTGCGATGGCGCGGCACAGAGGGGAGAAGGGATCAGCCACCTGCAGCGTGGATCAAGTTGTGCTGAAGGACTTCCCTGTGAGCATTTCACATTACGGGAACGAGCCCCTGATCATTTGGGCCCACTTTTTGGGATAGCTCCCCCCTTGCGTTTGGGATCTTGACAAGCTCCTAACGCCCAGGTGAACAATCCACCACTGCTCTTTGAAGTGGGGCGGTTTGCAAAAGATATGGTCCTCGACACTTTGGGGTCTCTGGTGTTTTTTGGTCGCCTCCCCGTCGGGCAGCTCTGCTAGGCATCGATGGGCAGCTTTGGCAGGTGGGGAGTGGCGGTGCCCTGTGCCGCCTGCCGCCTGTGTCGTGCAATGGGCATTTGAGATGTGCTTGCCCGTTTGGAGCCGTACCGCTTGGTAAAGCTTCCTGAACGTTTTCTTGATGGTTGGACTTGCAAGGAGCTCTGAATACGGGTCCCATAGCGGTGCCCTGAACACGTCCAATGGGCGGCCAGGGCTGTGACTGCTCTAAGCCTCTCTCAGCCTTGTTTGGCTCGAGCAGATGGCAGCCAAACACCCCAGGATCATGACGCTCTTCGAGCGCCTCTCGGAGACGTTTCTTGTGGTTCACGGCTCCGAGTTCTCGCACACTCCGTAGGGAATTTTCGGACAGCCGCAGCAACCCTGCGTTAAACATGGGTGACATGGGTGTGTCTCTTTGTGTGCACACTCCCTTTTTTAAAGGGACCCGCCCATTTTGCGTTTTAAAGTGACAAGCCCATGTTGCAGATCCTCTTGTTTTGACATATACCCATGTTTACATTTTTGGGATTGGCGCATCAGATATCCAGTGATCATCTTTGCCTCCGCTTGTCTTACGTGACATCAAACCGTCAGCGTTTACCTCGTGTGTGTTCGTAACGCCAAGCCCGGTGGATGGTCCAAACATGGGACTCAAAGTGGGAGGAGCCGCTTGTGACACCCCCAGCGGACAGGAGGTTCTCTTCAACCCTTGCAAGAAAGCTGAGACCAGGAAATCAAGCAACAACCTGGAGCAGTTCCGGACACACCAATTCATGGCCAGCTTATTGCTCTTTCTCTTTGATTCCTCAGGCGGTTTGAATCGTCTTTGGTTTGCCTTCTCCTTCGCTCCGAGTCGCGGAGCGAGCGCCTAGCCAAGGCTTCAAGGATTCCTTGGAGGCCCGGTGCGCCGAGGCCAGCGAGGCGAGGAGAGATTGCCCTGAGGTCGGAGGTTCAGACCGCTTTGAGGGTTTCAAGCTTTCGTGAAGCTGATCTTGATGTTGTTCACGGAAACCGGGAGAAGGAAAGCGGGTCGCAGCGTGAGGGAACTCCACTTCCTGGGGGCATCCTTTGCTGTGCAACTTCGCAGGAGGAGGCCCCGGCAGCGGTGCTGGCGTGCCGTGGCAGAAATCAGATCGAGGGGTCGAATTGAAAACAGATAATAGAAAAAACACCTGAAGGGGTGGTTTGGGGCCATGTTCTCAGGAGCCTGGTTCAGATTCCTTCGCTTGTGGCGGAAGGTATTTGGGTATGGGTCAAAAATCAAACCACAAAGGGAGCGCCCGTTGTCGTCCATGTTTCCATTTACCAGGGTTCTATTTTGGGGACCTATCTTTGACCCACCGCCATTTGGCAACTGGTGAAGTCACCCTTTGCGACCCTAGGGGTACGAGAAATATTTGGGTTTGGCAATGTGCAAGGGCCCATAAGAACGTTGCCATTGAGAGAGTGCTTCAAGGAGCTCACAGGGCACGAGTTTGTTTGTAACAGCTTCGAGTGTCGCCTTGTGCGAGAGTTCCTTCGTGGCCCTTAGCCAAGGAGGGAGTTCCTTGCTGCCCACGGCAAGCAGGCGCACATGGCGCCGCGCTCGTTCGGCACCGGATTCACAGCCCCCGTTTGACACTGGGAAGGTCTCCAAGCACAACTTGCCTTTGGCAGATCAGATTGGCAATATTTTCCTTGTGGCGCGGTGCCACGCAGGCGGAGAAGGTCTTGTCTCGCTTTGGTGCCGACGGCAAGCTCCGAGGTGCTGTGCCAGAGGGATCGATTCGCCACTCCGAGAGTTGAGGTACATTCCTCGTTCATACTGAGCTACTGCTTGGCTTCCTGGTTACCAACCCACTTTGGGAAAGGATTGGGTGCTTAGGATCCTTTGAGGAACAGTCGTTGGGTCCGAGGTTGCGTCATAGGGGCCATGTTGACCTTCATTTTCCACTGTACTCAACACTTGTTTCTCGTGTTGCATTTAAATGTAGATGACATTTATTAAACAAAACTACGGACACACATCATCAAGGAGTCTTCTTTGCTCATCTTTTAGATGCTCCTTGCCCAGTTTGTCAAATGTTGCTCCCGGCTCTTCCCAGAAAAGGTGGTAGTGGGAATGTAAACAATTCAACCTTCTTTAAACGGAATCAACAGGCGCTTGGTTTGCCTTTCACATCTCGAATTGCAGGTGAATCTGCTCCAGCCAGCGCCTACAATGCTCCTTGGAGCTTGTGGTTGGCCGATGGGAGGGCCGAGGGCCGTGTTTGTTCTGCCTGCTTCTGGAGGTGTTGCCTGAGTTTGTATATGCCGCGCCGGTTGGCCCTGATTGCCCTTCCAACATGTACAAGTACTGTTATGATCAATTTTGGAAGCAATGGGTGTGCCATTCACCCGTAGTATTCTCCTAGTATGTCCTTGGTATTGCTCTAGTAATCCCCCAAAATTTCTTGAGATGCAAGAATGCAAAAACCTACAGAGCCCCCCAACAAAAACAAACAACATGAAACACAGAAGAACGCGAGAAAAACACAAACAACGCCCTCAGGGAACCCCTTCCAACTTTGACTCTCAAAACGAGCTGGACGCGGCAATTTCCACGGTCGAGTTGGGGGCCAGCTTCCTTTGAGACACAGTTCAAAGGGGGGGGTCTTTGTCCCCATGGGCCAGTTTGTTCCTTTTCTTGGGCGAGTTTCCTCGTTAAGAACAGGCAACAAAAGCGCTGGCTGGGGGGTGGGAGGGGCTGTTTTGTCCCATGAGCGGGCAAGTACGCAAGGCAGCATTGGGTGACAAAGGCGTCGAGCTGTTGCACCTCGGTTCGGTTGAACCCAAGCTTGTGTGTCCAGCCGAATGGATTTTTTGCAAATCGGTAGGGTTGGGCGGACCGAGGATTTCTACAAATGGACCATGATGCCGGTGATCCGCGCGTTGGAGAAGGGCACAGGTGCAGTCGTCGAATTCGTTCATTCTTCGACCACTTCACATGGACCCCGGCCTTTTGCCGCTTCAAGCCGACCCCCAAAACGTCCCGCTGGCTGATTCCAATCGCAAAGGATGATCTGACCGCAGCGAGAGAGAGGGAGGGGTGGCCAGTGATCGACACGGTGGGCTCATTTGGTCTCGGTGCCCACAGGCGATGTGCGGTGCACGTTCAGCGCCAACATCCGGGACTCCGCACTGAACGCCGCGCTGGTGGAGTCGGCCAAGCGCCTTGGTTCTCAGATGCCAGCGAGCCCCTTGGGCATGTCTGGAAAATGAGGGCAGGAGGGTCTTGCTGTATGATGGTACCATTTGGCTGAATTCTAAACATCGTTAAGAAAGGGTGCTTGAGGGTACAATAGACGTACGTGCGCGAAATTCAAAGGAATCTGTCAAGTCTTAAGTCAGCCTTTGCTGCCTGTGTCTGAGGCAAGAGCCACCGGGCGCCCTCTGGGACACGCTGAGGCGACTAAAAATGGTGTGGTGAGGGTATTGGCTGCTAGTCTATGGTGCTTGCTGTGGTCCCTGTTCGTGGCCACTCCTATTTTGTTGCTTTGCAATCAACAGTAAACACATTTGGGTGTCTCCAAATCTGAGATCCCTTTTCAGACCACGGCGTTCCAAAACCCCCCGCTCGCCCCCTTGCCCTTTTTGTGGACGGCACGGTTTTTGAAACCCTTCCTTATGTTTTGATTGCGCAAATTGAAGAGGATCCGCCAAAAAGGAGGTTGTGCAAACGATAACGTTTTCAGACCCCAACCCCCCCCAACCACCCGCGCTCAAATCTCCCCACCAAAAGCCTAAAACCGCCCCTTAATACCTCTACCAGGTCCCCCGGTAGTGCCCTTTGACCTTTTTTTGTTTTTTTTGTTTTTGGCTTCCCCTACTAACAGATATATATATATATATATAGACTACGGGAAAGAAAAAGGTTGGTACCAACTTCTTCTGGCCGCTCTACTGCACCTTAAGACCCGGCTGGGTTCCGCCAGGTCGGGCCTCGAGGAGCTGGCGCAGCGGCCCTTCGACCGAGAGCTCTTCGAGCGCGCGGCCGCAGAGTCGCAGCTGCCGGGCTGGGCCCGGGGCCCCGGGCGATCCCGGGCGACGCCCGGGTGGGTGCGGGGGTGGGGACAGGGGGGTGGCTGTGGGGGTGGAGTGGGGTGGAGTGGGGTGGAGTGGGAGGCGTAGGGGGGATGTTTCGGAGGTTCGGTCCATCTTCTTCTGAGTAGTTTGGTGCACTTGGGATGCCCAATTTCCCTCAAACCAGGGTGTCAGGTTCTTCGCCGAGGACGCGGCCACGTTGGAGGCGGTCTGCGGGCCGCCCGGCGCGGCGCGAAGCATGGCGCAGGAGCTGGACCTCAACCCCCGAGGCGGTTGAAATGGGTCCCTGGACCGATACCTTTCAGCCAGTCAGAAAATCACCAGTTAAATGCATCCCTTGCACAACAAGACCTGGTTGGTTCTTGGATGGTCTCCGGTTGACGGGGGTTCTACTTTTTCACGGGTACCTTTTTTGAAGGCTGGATTTTATGCCAGATGCGCTGCTCCACCCAATGTGTGAGGGGCAAACACTTGTGGAGGAAACCTGCTGAGCTACCCCTTTTTAGAGTGTTTCTTGTATGAGTTGCCACGAGCCGTGACTCGGCAACAGCAACAGGCGCACGAAAGCTGCCAAAGAACCCCTCGGACGTGCAGATCCAGGTGGGGGCTGATGCATTTAATTTGTATTGCGCAGGTCGCTACTGGGCGGTACACACTCTCGCCCATGAACATGGAACTGCTTGAAGCAGAGCAGCCTTCCAGCCTTCCGGCAACAGAAAGCTATTCAATTGGGTAAGGCAGGGTTGGATAACCCCCCCAACTTAGGCAGAATCAACACGACGCCCAAGCCCTGCGGGGCAAGAGGGTTCGTTTTCGACGTCCTTCTGTAGTGTTTGCTCTCTTCATTTCAACATGTGAGGCATCGCTGGGTTTGAGTCCCTTGCTGGCTTGACAGCATCGAATACATGACTTGCTGACTCACTCAGGAACGCCCATGCCAAGTTTCATCACACCCCTTGTG